GCTCTGGGTTGTTCTGCTTTGCATTAGTTCCTCGGGGAGTTGGTGAGATGAGGGAATGTGTTTACCACATAGTGGTTATTGTTAAAGTTAGTGGACTGTGCTGCCTGGGGAGATTTCAGTGGGCTCGGATCTTACTACCTGTGTTTCCACTTCCTAGATTGTGAGTGTCTGTCTGTCTATAGTATTGGGGTACAGACGCTTGTTAGGCTTTAGGAAAAAAACCCACACACGCTGGGGACAGTGTGCTCTCTAAGTTCCATTTCAGACTGTTGCTCTGTGCTGTTGCACACTTGATTTCTTACTCCTTTCCTGTTGCAACCTATTGCTAGGATGACTAAGGAGGAGGTTCACTACTAGAGCTGCATACATTTCTTCCTTCTGCCAGAGCATTCCATGTGACTGTGGGGTCAAACTTTCTGCAGAGGGGGGCAAGCAAAGTTGTGGCAATCAAGATGCTGAGGTGAGGTGAGAAATGGATTCATGGCAGAATATTGATGAACTGCAACGCTTCAGATATTCTGATATTCCATGCTACGCTAACGCATGTCTTTCCACCAAGCCCCAAATACCCTGCAAGTAGAACATAGTAATTTGCTACTTTTCCTGTAAAATCGTGGAAGTAGTTGTTCAGTGTTTGTGAGGCAGAAATCTCAGAGTAATAGTGTGTTCTCTGCTCTTTCTTTCTTGATTATCTTATTTTAAAATCTAATTAATGTAACCATTAACACCTCTAAAATCTCTTTAAAAATGAAAAAATGTTCAAGGTCATGATATATAATACATACCTTGCCATGCAAGGGAGACTTCAGTGCCTTCTGGTGTAGAGTTATCCCTAGCTTGTAACTTTGTAGTGTATGGAAACATGGGAAAATAAAATAATTTGAAATATTGACGTAAGTGCTCTCTAAATACAATGACTTAGATCCAGACCAGCTGTTATGCAAACAGAAAGGTTTGTTCCTTTCTCGGAAGCAATTTGGATGTAGTGAAGACTCCTGCAATAGGCAGTAGGCAGTGGGGAGGATAATTTCCACTGATTTTCCCTTCCTTCTACAGCCTTCACTGGTGCCAACTCGGGGGGCGTGGCGTGGTTGCTTCGGCACCCACAATAATATATTGCAATTATTTGTTCCAAGAGATGTTTACCAAATCATAAGACGTCCATTCTGTATCTTTGGTTCTCCTTTGTTTCTGTTATTTATAACAGTGTCCTTTATAAGCCCCTGTGGAGCTGCTAGTAAGACAGACATAGGTTTCTGATATGCAGGAACTGCTGAGTCAGGCTTGACTGTGCCCCTCTAGGAAGCAAAGCTCTCTTGCAGGGCCAAACTGACTTAAGGTGCTCACATGTAGCCTTTGAAATGCACAGGGCTCGTTTCTTCACAGTGCACTTCTGTTTATAGCCAATAGCAGTTGTACACACCTTCACGCAATGACATCATCTAAAGCAGCAGCTGCTATCTGTGTTGTCTGTGTGGGAATGTTGAGCCAGGAGAACGGGAGATGGCAAAAGAGGACCAAAGAGGAAGATGGCTGCATGGCTAGCCCTTTTATAGGGTCTACTAGGGTCATACCCTACCTGGTCACACACGGGGAGGAGGCTCCAGAGCAGGTACAATAGGAAGTCCCCCCTGTCTGGAGCAACGTTCCCCTGTGTGTCCACTCTAGGCAACAGGAAATGTTTGTATTTGACTGCTTCAGTGATGATACATCCCACAGTCTGCACACACAGGTGGGCATGCTTTCAAACTAGTACGCAGCTGTGCTCTCTATTCGCCTCCCCTCAATTGGTGTTTCCACACTCTTTCAAAAGAGTGTAGTTGTAAACTTGTGTGTCAACATACTGTAAACAGAGGACCTATATTTCGGTATACAGAAGCAGCTAAGTTACCGCACCGCTTCCTCTTTTGCCTCTTTCATTCATAGGCAAGTTAAGCCTGGTTAGGGGAGTGGAACACCCCTTCAACATGAGTTGGTCTGCCCCAATAGGTGGCAGTGACCTGACAGTGTGTTGTTATCTGTGTACACATGTGCTTGAGAAGCACATTCCTGGCACACAACAGATTATAACCGTTCCAGCAGAATGCCCTTTCGACTGACAAATAGCGTGTGACAGCGATGGGAGTGGCATTGTGTGCACAGCAACCTGAAAATGTGCCTGCATCCCGCACTTGAATGCACATGATCACGCAGTGTGTACACACCCATAGATTGTAAGCCTGTGGGCAGGGACTGTTAAAAAAAACCCAACTACGTAAGCTGCTCTGGGATCCTTTTTTGACCATGGAAACAGAAACAAAGGTGGAAGACTAATTGGTGCTCTCCGCTTGCCCCTCAGAAAAGTTGGTGGGATCTTTCCAGGTATGTTTAGGAGATACTTCTGATATGGTAATGCACATCTTCTTGAGCATTTGTAAGAATTAATTTTGAGGACCAACCCAATGGTTAATGCTAACTAGGGTTTCCATCTTAACCCATCTTTCAAATAAGAATTTGAACTGGGTTTGCAAACCAAGGCTATGAGGAAACCTAACTACCAATTGCCTTGGTTAATAGTGATAGAGATGTAAACCTTCATTGGAATTTAGGGCTATGGATGAAGGGAGGAGTGGCAATTAATGCACAAGGGGGAAGGGGCTGGGGGAAGGTGAACTTGAAGATCCAGAGCCCACTCTTGATAAACTTAACCCTGGTTAAGAGAATGAGGAGTTAGTATTAACTCTGCACTGTTCTTTGTTACAGGCCTTGAAAGCCAGGTCAATTGCACAATTGCTGTTACTCACCTTGAGTCTTTTATAACAGAGAATAAATCTAAGCAAACAATTCATTTCTGCAGAAGTAATACAGAAGGGAGTATTCTGTTTGTGATCTTTACTCATCAAGGAGGGGTGGACATACCTAAATGCATAGGATCTAATTTGTTTTCATAACTTAGCAAGTGCTGACCTTTCACTGTATTTATTTATGTCAAGCCTGTTTGTGCTCTAGCCTGGGGAACATATTGACCATTTGCTGAATCAGAAAGCTAAATATGAAATGTACCTTTTTAAAAATGGGTTCAAGCAGAACCAAAATAAGTATTCTTCCAAAGTCTTGTTTTAAACATACCCTTTTAAGATTATCAAATGCATAATCCATTAAAACTTGAAAGGGGAATAGTATGAGAACCTTTCACGCAGAGAATAATTTTTTCCTATATTAAAGTGTGAACAGTCAATTTAATCATGCTTCCTAAAAGTTACCCTAAGTGAGCAGGTCTTGCAGTGTTTCAGGGTGACTTAAGTGGGGCAAATTGCAGTAGTTTAACCTCATATGAAAAAGATGGTATTTCTAATCTTTTCATATGTAAAGAGAGGAAGCCTTTTCACCAGGTGGAGCTTGTGGAAAGTGTCACTGACCATTGCATCTCAGCTTCCTGCTTCTACACCAGTTTGCACTATTAGGTTCCATGAACATCGCTACAGACTCGCAACCAAGGAGAAGAAACCATAGAAACAGCAGTAGAGTTATCTGCAGGCAGAAGGTCCCAGATTTAATCCCTTACCTGGAATAGACACATCCAGGTAAGGCTCGAATGTACCCTGTCTAAAACCCTGAAGAGCCACTGTGGGTTGGAGTGAGAAATACTGAATTAGATGAGCTCAGGGTCTGAAAGGAGCTTTCTAAAGTGATAGTGCTTACTTGTGGAGCAACAGGAAGCTGAACCCTGTTCATGATTAAAGTTGTAGTCTTGGAAGGCGTTTATTTTAATCTTGTTAAAGTTCATCTCCGTTTTGCTTGCTTGCTTGCTTGCTTGCTTGCTTCTAACATTTTACCATCAAACATACACAGTGATTGCAAGACCTTGTTTGTTCTGAAATCCTGTTGGGTTGGAAGGCAAACAGGATGGACTGTGAGGTGAAGCCAACTTGAAGGTCCCAGGAAGGTGATGAGCTGTCATGCTCCAGGTGGTGTCCTCAGGGACCAGGGTCTCAGTCCTAGAAGATAAAAAGCATTCTGGCAAAACATTTACCCAAGAGAACAGGGTTTAAGATGCAGTATAGTCTCAACAAGCCAAGGTCAAACACATGGAATCAGTCTCTGTCCAAAACATGACCCAGAGGCTAAGTCAGGTGATGGTCCAAATTCAGTAGCACAAGCAAAGTACAACACAACAAGGAGGAGGAGCAGAAACCTGTGTTGCCTCCGGCAACTGAAAGGCTGGCTTAAGTGGAGCCTCCTAGACAACACCCAAATTCCACCTGCAGGTAGCAGAGGAATTCCAGGGAGTGCTTACTCATGAGTGGACACCTTACTCACAAGCTGCAAAATGACTCTGGATCTGTAGATGCATGCTATGTTATTGTTCTTCAGCCTGGACCCATGCCTTTTGACACCTATGTTCTCAAGGACTGAAGGGTGGCTGCACTACATCATCTGATGGCTTGAAGGGGTCTTCAGGAGAGCTCCCGCCAAGGTGATCCTAAGCCTTGGTTCCATGAAAACCTGCTTGGTCCTCAAGGTCATTGATCAACAGAGCATCTGGTTCATACACCAAGGACTCAGCATCTGACACCTGGTCAGAGCTAGGCATGGCACAAACAGATGTCCGTCATTACCCAGCTTGTCAGGGACAAGCAGAACTACTCAAGCATGGTTCTGCAAACTGCTACAGGATCTTGTGCTCAATCACCGTTGATTTCACAGTCAACAGTATCAAAGGATTAATAATTAAATCTTAAGAAGGGCTTTTCATCAATCAGGTGAAGTTGCCTATGTGGGTCTAACTTCTAGGTTAAAATCTTCAAGGTGTGATGCTGTCAGTGCCACCCAAACTAATTATCATCTTCACAGTATGATTGTTTGTAATTGTTTCCCTGACCGTCAGGATAGGAATGATGGAATCTTCAACTCAACAACAACTGGAGAACCAAAACTTTCACACCCCACCTTAGATCCAATATCAAACAAGTCTAGATCATATTCTGATGAGAATATATATTTTTCCCTTTTTCATTTAGTGACTGCTTTACCAGTACCACAAGGGTCATGGATATCAAATTCCCAGAGGCTGAAGGATCTGGCGAGGAAGGTTCAGGTAAAAGGCCTATTTTCATGTTATGTTTGAGAGAACCTCCTTTTTTATTACAGAAATGATTTAAGTTTTTCTCTTTGGCTTTTGTTCTCTAGAGCTGTCATCTAGTTTAATCAGCGAATATTTGTTGAAAGTTTGCATGATTAATCAATTCATTGGTCAAATCTGTATATTTGCATATTAATAAAACAAACATTCTAAATCAGGAGTGAGGAACCTCTGGCCTGCATGTGAAATTAGGTCTGGCAGGGGTCCTAAATGGAAATAGTAAAATAGCCCTCTTTGTGAGCTCCTGCAAAAGCTTTTAGAATTTGCTTCATATGGCGAAAGGCCCATTTGTATCCGAAGGCGGATGGCCTGAAAACATTTTCTTGATTAAGCTTCCTTTCTGCGGCATTTAGCTTAGCATTACACTTCAGTATTATTGCTTGATGCTTGTTTTAACATGGAAAGTGCCACTTGGTAATATAATTACCATTCAGAATATCAGCATGCGGGTTTTCCACCTCAGCAAGCTATTTCTGTGTTTTTAAATTACTCACGTCATTTGGTAACAAGGCCGCCCTGCTCTTCAGTGATTAGTGAAGAGAGACATTGAGTTTCCGGACTGTAATTTAATTCTGTTCCCTGCATCTACCATTTAACACTGAGTTTATACTTCACAGTCTTATTACATTAAATGTTAATAGGATATTGGCAGCAACTAGAGAGTAGTCTTTCTTGCAAGTCTCTCCCCCCCCTTTAATGTACCTTATATCCTCACAATTCGTTTACACCAGTACAGTAATAGTATTACGTTGGGATCAGTGTGGATACAAATATCTGTTCATTCAATAAAACATTGGCGGAAAAAGACAACTGAAGCTGAGGCGGTGGGGGGCGGGCAGGAGGAGATTGCCTTCTTGATGACATGTGTGGATGAATAAATAATAACAGCACTGCCTAAAAATAATTACGACTCCCTTAATATTTATTCCCTCCCAGGAAAGAAGAAGTCTAAGTTTAAATCTATCAAAAAGTTCTTCGGGAAAAGAAAACGGAAAGAGACGTTATCACCTTCAGGAAGTGGTAGTCTGAAACAATGCCAGTCTGCAAGTGACGTCACAGCTTCACAGTCTATGCATATAGATTACGATTCTGAAGATGAGCTTGAGTAAGTCTCTATAAACTTGTCTTTAGCATGTTCACAAAACAACGAATTTCCTTTTGGAAAACCCAGGTAACTAATAGCTATATTATTTAAATCAGTCTCTCTCCCCCCCCCCCTCGCCAAAGAAAGCTTTCATTTTCTACCTGTAAAAATGTTAGGCTGGAACTTTTCTCCTTGGCAATTTAGATTGCTCTGTGAAAGGAGTTTTTATTATGCATTCAGTCACATGGTCCTCTATGTGAGATGCCAAGTAGAGCCACCCAGACACAGGTTTTATCTCCTCAGTAAGATCTAAACCTCAGAGTTCCAGTGTACAAGAGGAAGGAAGAGGGAGCTATCAGGAGAAGGTTATAAACTACTCTCTGACTAACCAGGGAAGGAATCTTGGGACTGTGCTATCTAGCAGTCTTAAAATGTGTTTAATGGTTCTTAAAACATATTGAAAACATTATTTTTAACAATTGTATTGCGTTACCACTTTGGTGTTTGGTACCCTGGGCTGCTTTGATAGGAAGGGCAGGATTGAAAATCAGTCAAATAAATTGATAAAATTTCAATGAAGAGAGTGACTCAGTATTTGGCAGCTATGAAAAAAAGTCAAATTTCTTGTTGGGGATCTTGTTATTATCATAATTCCCTGATATATAGCTGTAATGTGGTTGCGCCCAGAATACCGTGTACAATTCTGGTCACTGCATCTTAAAAAGGATATTATGAAGCTGGAAAAGTTGCAGAAAGTGGTGACCAAAAGATTCAAGCGGCTAGAGCGTCTATCCTACGAGAAAAGGTTAGAGTGTCTGAGGGCAGGGCTTAGCTTAGAAAAGGGTGGGCTAAAGTTGGGGACGTGATATGAGGTATGTAAGATTATGCATTATTTGGAAAAAGTGCGTAGGGATAACCTCTTTAATAATAATACTAGGAGGTTGGGATGTAGGTTCAGGTGACAGATTCAGGACAGACAAAAAGAGGTACTGCTTTGCACTGGCCATAGGTGAACTTCCATAAGATGTAGCAATGGCCACCAACCTGGGTGGTTTTAAAAGAGGAATTGATTATTGTTGGCTTCTAGTCACGATGATTGAATTATGTTTGCATCAAAGGTTGAATGCCTCCGAATTCTAGTTGCTGGGGAATTATGAACAGGAAGAGTGCTTTTAATGACTGTATGCTGCTTGTGAGTTCCCTATAGGCATCTGGTTTGGCAGTTTGGGAACAGAAGGCCGGGCTAGATAGGCATTGGTCTTGACCCAGCAGGGCTTTCCTTATTTGCCTATGGGAGGGCTACAGAAATGTCTGTTTTCAAGTAAGATCGAAGGCCCAAATCATATGACCTAATAATAATAAAGAGAACAAGAGTGCAGATGGGTGGAATCTTTTGCCTGCTCCACTGAGCTGCCAGAGCACTTGCATATGAAATTAGGGATCATAGTATTAAGGTTGGAGGATATGATTCCCATGCATGTTGAGCCCCTAGCACTGCTGTTTAGGAATTGTGCACTGTGAATAAATACCTGCAGTGCTTTCCGGTGCTAATGAAGATTGCGTTACACAAGGCTCCCACTAGGGGTTGCCAAACCACAACAGCAAAAAGCCCTTGGTACTCTGAATGAATGGCTTTGTTTACTGTTGACTTGTAGGAAACCTGTGATATCCCAAAGCAGCAGCATTGAAAATGCTTTCTTGTTAAATGTATAGAAAAGGCCATAATTGTAATCATTCACAAAAATCAATACTGCATCTCCAGTTTTTAAATCCTCCAAGTACTACAAAGAAGCTGTAATTAGAGTTATTAAAGTTACCGTAATTTGAAGTTCTGCCCTTGGGTAGAGGAATTTTCAGGGAAGCTGAGACTAGCAAAACGTCTTAGAGGGCCCCATCATTCCTAGGACATCGCTGCATTTTGTGAAAAGTGAAATTCAAAGGCAGCGTGGAAGTTTCATCTCATGTGAGGCTAAAGCAGTTTTGCTAAGCCAAGCAAAACATTCCAGGGTGGTTCTGCATGTCCTGGAGAATTTTCTGTGCAAATTCTTTGCATTTCGGAGAAGGCATTCTTTCTTTGATTAAGCTGCTCTCCAATGATCTCAAATACACTGAACTTGCATAGGATTTTTTTTCCCTTCCTTGTATAGCAGAGCTTCCTTTCCCACCTATTGTTTCACTGAACATATTTTTAGCCGTCACTGAGAGAAAAGTGACTGTTCCCATACCCATTTATATTTTCTGCCCATCCATTTCAATAGCATCTTCATTTAATGTAGGAGCATTTAATCTAGTTCTTAATTTTGAGGAACCTTAACACAAACTAGTTTATGTCCACAGCAAAAGCATAGAGATAAGTGCTTAGTTGTCTTGGGCGTTATCCTAGGCAGCATTGCTTAGCCAAATTGCTGCCCAGTTCTTTTATCTTTTACCTGTGTGGAACATAGGTAAAGGTAAAGGGACCCCTGACCATTAGGTCCAGTCCTGACCGACTCTGGGGTTGCGGCGCTCATCTCGCTTTATTGGCCTAGGGAGCCAGCGTATGGCTTCCGGGTCATGTGGCCAGCATGACTAAGCCGCTTCTGGCGAACCAGAGCAGCGCACGGAAACACCGTTTACCTTCCCGCCAGAGCAGTACCTATTTATCTACTTGCACTTTGATGTGCTTTTGAACTGCTAGGTTGGCAGGAGCAGGGACTGAGCAACGGGAGCTCACCCTGTCGCGGGGAATCGAACTTCCGACCTTCTGATCAGCAAGCCCTGGGCTCTGTAGTTTAACCCAGAGCGCCACCCGCGTCCCATCTTCCCCATAGCTTATGTATAACAAAGAAGTGTCTTTTTCAAGTTCCAGAGTCATACTGGTACTCGGAAGCTTACTGCCTCCAAGCGGTATAAAAATTGTTGAAAGAAATAAAATTCCATTTTCTCTGAATATACAGTCTGTCTTGGTATTCAGCGTCATACTCATTAAAGAGCAAGACCTTGCTTCTGGTGTTCTGAGTGTCCTTGCATAAGACTTCTAAGGAAAGTTACATTTGTGCTATGCTTTTCTGATCGTTCCATTAGTGCAAGCATTTCAGCTTGCTGGTGGGACTGATCCTCACTCTCCTCCCCTGGCATGCTGTTCTCCTAACACCCCGCAAGCCTATTTCAGGAACATGCGGGGGTAGGAGTGGAGGGAAACCTCAATGTACATGTGGAAGTCCTTGTGTAGGGCTTCCGCAGATAGGAGTCATTAGCTGAATCCCACCCCCAATTTCCCTTCAACAGATTGACCACAAACTTGACATGAGCCAACAGTGTGACGCGGTAGCTAAAAAAGCCAATGCAATTTTGGGCTGCATCAATAGGAGTATAGCATCTAGATCAAGGGAAGTAATAGTGCCACTGTATTCTGCTCTGGTCAGACCTCACCTGGAGTACTGTGTCCAGTTCTGGGCACCACAGTTCAAACTGGAACGTGTCCAGAGGAGGGCAACCAAAATGGTCAAAGGCCTGGAAACGATGCCTTATGAGGAACGGCTAAGGGAGCTGGGCATGTTTAGCCTGGAGAAGAGGAGGTTAAGGGGTGATATGATAGCCATGTTCAAATATATAAAAGGATGTCACATAGAGGAGGGAGAAAGGCTGTTTTCTGCTGCTCCAGAGAAGCGGACACGGAGCAATGGATCCAAACTACAAGAAAGAAGATTCCACCTAAACATTAGGAAGAACTTCCTGACAGTAAGAGCTGTTCGACAGTGGAATTTGCTGCCAAGGAGTGTGGTGGAGTCTCCTTCTTTGGAGGTCTTTAAGCAGAGGCTTGACAACCATATGTCAGGAGTGCTCTGATGGTGTTTCCTGCTTGGCAGGGGGTTGGACTCGATGGCCCTTGTGGTCTATTCCAACTCTATGATTCTATGTGATTGCTAAGTGGGAAGACATTTATGTCACGTAAAAAATGATCACTTGCAAAGCAGAGGCTATGAGGAATGAAAATCAGCAGCATAATCTCAGATGCTACAAAACTTCTGAATGGGCTTGGCTGTAGGAAGGAAGGAAGTTATGGTGGAGAAGGGCCATAGCTCATTGCTAGAGAGCACCTGCTTTGAGTGTAAGAGGTCCCAGGTGGTGCTGGGAGAGACATCTGCCTGGAACGCTATAGAGAGCTGCTGCCGGTCAGTGTTGACTATACTGAACTAGATGGACCAGTGGCCCGACTTGGTATAAGGTGGTTTCCTGTGTACCTAACTACTAAGGAAGGATGGCAATGTGTGTCCTGTGTCCCAAGCACAAGAAGGCTTGACGATATGGTACCTATACAATGAACTCTAGTAGGGACATTGCTTCCTGAAACAGTTGCAGGCCATAATTGGAGATTTGCACTCAGAATCCCTTGCAGTGCCACAAGATAGACTGGATTTCAAGTCTGGGTTCTCTTGTTGTTTTACAGGCATTTGCAGTGAATTAATGCAGAGTTATTCTCCAGTACCTTTGCTGCTCAAGGTCCTAGGTCACACCTCTTGGGTTTGTCCCGCTGCATTTGCATCCCTTTCCAGCTGGTTTTCGAAAGGAATTGGCTGTCCCTATATGATTGTGGGATATACTTGCAGCTGGGCAGTTTTACTTTGGCTGCTCCTCTTAGGCTGTTTGTTAACACTGCTACTCAATTTAACATATGGAATATGCTTCATTTTTAAAAAAGCTGTTTTATGAAGGCCAAACATTGACACACATGCATTTTTCGTTTGTGTTCTGTATTCTGCTAGGATGCACGAAGGTATTATGGGAAGCAGAGCCTTGTCGCATGAGAGCATTTTCATTCCTGAGACTGCACAAGAACCAACTAGACCAATCCGAGTATTTTCTCAGGAAAATGTTTCCGATCGGATTAGGGCTTTGCAGGTAATGTGAAATGTATACAATAATGTTGACTCTCTTCTCTCTCTCTCTCTCTCTCTCTCTCTTTCTCCCTCCTCCCCGCCTCCCACCAGCAGTTGTAACTGTAACTCTGGATTTGCTTCCGTATGATAGTAACATACTGTACATTTAAATTAAATATTCTCAATATAAATCAAGTATGGGAAACCTTTTCCCCCTCAATAATAATAATAATAATAATTTATTATTTGTACCCCGCCCATCTGGCTGGGTTTCCCCAGCCACTCTGGGCAGCTTCCATAGAAACCAAAGATGCAGTAAAATATCACAGATTAAAAACTTCCCTGAACAGGGCTGCCTTAAGATGTCTTCTGAATGTCAGGTAGTTATTTATCGCTTTGACATCTGATGGGAGGGCTTTCCACAGGGCGGGCGCCACTACCGAGAAGGACAACATTCCTTTGGGAGTGGTTGGGGAGCATCCTCTTTTCTCTCTCCCCTGCCCCATATTTCCCCGTAATACTATCCTGCACAGAGTTCACATCATAAAACAGGAGTAGAACAACTAAACCTACATTCAAAAATCTGCAGTACTGTAATACCAATATCAGACAAACCTAATTATTTGGTTGACTTAATAAAGGTATTTCCCTACTGTAGATTTTTGAATATTATTCACATCTACTTTTTGCCGCTTCTTGCTTTTTATTCAAACAAACAAATAAAACATCAAGCTAAAAGTAATAATAGAAAAACAGTCACAAGGGTTTGTGACCTTTTGCTTTTTTTAAAAAAACCAAAACCCTATGTTAGTGATTTGCTGTCTAGGGGAAAGAAGGGCACTGTGATTATGAGAACTTCTGGCTGGCTCATTTCTTCCATTCAAGCAGAGGCCTGTTCATGTGGACAAAAATAAGTATTGCATGATCCAGCCATTCAGTAATGGAGAAAATACATTGAAACATGTTTGAAATTTGTCCTTGTAGTTGAAACTCCAACAGAATTGGAAATTAAGGGCCTCGTCGCCATTTGGAACATCTTCAAAAAGAGTGGATGATACTGGGATGAGTTCAGAAGATGATGGATTACCTAGAAGTCCACCAGAAACGTCTTTACTGCAGGAAATGTTAAATTCCAGTACAGCAAAGGTAGGATAAGTCAAGCATGCCATTTTCAGAATATTATTTTGAATGCGGTTATTTGTTTCATTTTGCCTTTCTGGTTGAAATTACCTTGCAATAACCTGCACACTGCCATCATCCTGATAGAAGAAGCATTTGTAACAAAGATAGATAACCAAGATAACAAAGATAGATAACCAAATGTTTGGAAACCTTACACAGCACCTGGTATTGTCAAGGGCAAGTTATTTTGAAGAGGGGGGAAAGTGCATGCGTAGACTTGAATGGAAGGACCAGAAGGTTTAAACAACATAATGAGTATTTTGGGGATGTCTTTATTTATTGCAACATATTCTTCTAGAAACGTTTTGGTCTTTTTTTTTTTTTTACTGCAACAGTGGCAGAGGAATTGCAAAAATTATCAAGAAAGAAAGATTTTGACTGATCTCAGCCTTTGTCTCTTCGCCTCCCCACCCTCGTAGAAGCATACTAATGCCATCACCTTTCCATAAAAATGAAAACACAAAACACCTCCCACCATCTTTATATTTTTCAGGATTCCTATTAATTCTTAGAACTGCATAGATTCTCTTCTTGCAACTTATATTTTCTCTAGTCCGTTTTGTGGTTTGTAAAGTGTCTCTCAGTGTCTCATCTCCTTTTGTCATCTATCACTGAATCTTTTCCTCATTCCACCCCACAGTTCTCTGACTCGCACAAGCATCTTAGCTCTTTGAGTTTAGCTGGAACAGGCAGTGAAGAAGAAGAACAGGTAACAATAATGATTGGTGTTTAATTGTGCATGTGTGTTTTTGTGTATCCAAAGCAACTGTTGGGATTCCTGAATCTCTGAAGCAAGGTTGCTATCCTTTAAGGGCTAGTGGGCACACTGAAATGTTCAGAAAGTGCCCAGGGTGCCCGCCACAAAATGGCTGCCTTGGTGGCATGGCATAATACAAAATGACTACCACACCTGTAAGAACAGAAAAACAGATGGTTCTGCAGAATGATCTGAATATGCTCCCCCATCAGTGAGTGGAAAATGTACATACATCAGCCACTACTGGACTCACTCACTGAGAAAAGCTATTTGCTTGTCTCCTCAGTTCAGAATGGAAAGGAGGGTGGTTGTCAAATCCTGGCATCTGGTGAAATGAGAGCATGTTTAAGGAGTTGTGTTCAGTCACACATTGTGGATTCTTTATATACGTTTTGTGGGTGCCATTGAAAATACTGGCAGGCACATGGAGTAGTGGGTTGAATCATTCTTCTCTAAGAGGTATTAATGAAGAATATTCATTTACCTTATGCATAGCAGTTTCAGCAACTGCATTATAGATACTGGAAAGTTAATTTACGTTTCATTGATTTTCATACTTCTGGTTTTCAAGCACCATTGAGTTCAGCCTCCAGGAAGAGATGGAATTCAGCAGGAAGTTGATCAGATACTACTTTTCGGTACAAAAGCAAGTCAATGCGGGGGAGTCTTAGGCTCTCGGACACTCTCCTGCTGACTTGTCTTCAAATTTTACATTTGAACAGATCTAAACAGCAGCTAAGCAGCATGCACAAGGTCATGTGTTTGGTTGTGCAGAACAAGAGTCCCCTTATTCCTTTCTTAACTGTTCAGGTGCTGTTCTTAGATCACATCCACGCATTTCAAGCACATTTAACACACAACTAAACACATGGCTTCTTCCCCCAAATAATCCTGGGAACTGTACTTTGTCAAGGGTGCTGGGAATGGTAGTTCTGTGAGGGGTGAACTACAGTTCCCATAATTCTTTGGGAAAACCCATGTGTTCTAAATGTATAGCGTGGTTGTAACCCTAGTTAGAGATCCAAGCTGATCCATTGCTGATTATGACTGTTGGTTTTTGTGCCTGGGAGACTTGAATTTTCATCAGTCCTTCATCCAGCCCAACATGAGCAGGGATAATTGGAGCCAATGTTCCCACCCAGAAACCTGCGATCTTTGAGTAGGAGTTGATAGGTGCCCTTCAATCAGCAACACACATAGCCAGCAGATTGAAGAGCATTTTAGCAGTCCCTTGAAGAGTTCCATTTACTCACTGAGCTGAGGAAGAGCCAGAGACATCAAGGCACATGAGAGCTGGAGGGGAAAGTGCAAAGTAGTGAGAGGTTTTTTTTCTTTCTTCTGGAGACGAGGAAAAAAGGAAATTAAAACACATCAAGAAAAGGTCGCTTAGAAATTAAGTTATTTTAAAGTGGCTTCTGAGGATACCACTTAGCATTCTCCCTCACTGCTCCATATTCATCCTGAAGAACATTGGTCCAGGATGCTACGTTTGCGAATCTGAACTTCAGACTTGCTTTGACCGTAGGGCAGTAAACAAGCCATTTGTGCTAGTTTCCAAATAGGGGCATTGCAAAAGAGAATGAGCCTGACAGAGATACAACTGTGGATATTTTCACCCATGCAAGTGAAGTGCATATCGAACGTACATCACTCTATAGACCAAGTTTCTGTAACACCTCCAACGTAGCTATTTTCAGTAGGGGTTGTTTACCCAATAATCAGTGAGAATTTGCCATGATATGAAATACTGGGTGTTGCATATGCTTATATGAGTCAACCCACCGGCAGAAGATAAGACTAGAGCAGTTGAAATGATAAGTAGGTGCTGATTGGAAAGTGGCCCAGAAATGCATTATTTCCTCCTGCTTTTGAGGCCTGATGGCTCGTCTTGACTGCTTCCTTCTCCCTAATTTTCACAGTACCTCAGTGCTTTAGAATCTCTTGCAGAGCATGTTGTATGTGTATGAAATGTGTTTATATATAATAGAACATGTATCTCTCTTCGTCTGGGCATGATTATGCACAATAAGACAACCTTGAGATGTTTCTAAGGGTTCCAAAGGGAATACAAAACGTAAAAGACGGAAATGTTTGACAGCTTATAGGTGCTGAGTTGTAAGCTGAAAGTGTGCTCAAACGATTCCAGTTCTAGACTCTTCTGTACTGCTGGAAGAGACCTGAAAGTCCTGGGTGGAAAAAAGATTAAAACTGGCATGCAGCCGACATTGTATCCCTCTGTTATGCTGCAAGGAGAAAGGAGAGAATAAAGTTTACCAAGCCAAAGACGCACATGAGTAAAGAAAGGCCATCCTGTATTTTATCTTTTGCAAACAGAAAATAATTTGAAATTAGTCCATAAGGGAGGGAGGAATATTGTGCCTCTCATCTCTGATGCTGCTTTTCCTAAAAGGCGACATTGGTTTTAATAATAATAATTTATTATTTGTACCCCTCCCATCTGACTGGCTTGCCCCAGCCACTCTGTGTGGCTTCCAGCATATATAAAAACATAGAAAGCATTAAACGTTAAGCTTGAGGGGGTCACATAACTACATCATGCAGTTTAAAACATTTCTCATCTTCAAAGAATCCTAGGAACTTTCATTTACATCTCATAGAGCTACAATTCCCAGCACCCTTTACAAATTACAGTTCCCAGGATTCTCGGAGGCTGAGGAGTGTGCTTTAAGGGGATGATGTGTACAGGGCCCTAACTTTATAGAGGCATTTTTTTCTGTATAATAGACTTTCGTGTAGGACAAATGGAACCGAATACAGAATAATACAGTGTGGAATGCTCCAATTCCGTTCCAACTCCAGTTTTCTTTCTTTTTTTCGCCATCTTCACCTGAAAATCAGTTTGCATTTTGTGCCCACTGAGCACAATCAGATCTTGTCCTCCTTGGGATTCCTCCCCTGAAGTGATTTTGCACTTGATAAATCTCCTCCTTGTTTGTGGATGGTGCCACTCAAGCTGCAACTTGGCTTTTTAGCATATAGGATCGCATGGTCTGAAGGGACTTGATGACAACTTTGCTGAAGCTAAGCAAGTCTGGGTCTCTTTAGTCCCAAGATGGAAGACTCTGTAGGAGCCCTGTGTGTGCTTCCATGGAAGAAAGGCTGGATATTAATTCAATAGGCAGCAATTCAGAAGCACTGGGGATGGAACTTGGAGCAGAAGCTGGAGTCTCAGTATAAGTGCTCTTCATTTTTGTTGTTGACTGAAATGAAATGACGGTAGTATTGATACTGCCTCCATCTATCTCTATACTGCGTTATGGTCCCAGCAGTGTTTGCAGCCTTATGTATTCATTGCTGTTTACATCATTTTCCTATGTGCTACAGTATGCTAGAGAGTGATTCCAACACTGATTAAATGTGTATTTAAAAATTCCTTAGAAACTTTCAAGTTTTATTGTATGTTTATATTGTATGTTTTAAAAAAATAAAATCTGACTCTTCCCCTCCCTCTCTTCTGTCATTTTGGGCTTCTCCTTTAGGTCACACCAAGTCCTTTGAGATCCTCTTCTGTGGAAAGCCAGCTATTCCCCAGGCAGCCAAGTGCTAAAATTATATCTCTGCAGACATCTGACTGCAATCTCTCTCCTCCTGCTGATTTCGATACTCCAGCCGAGTTTTCTTCTTGCTTGGATAATTCAGCTGCTAAGCACAAGCTTTTAGTGAAACCACGGAACCAAAGATCCAGTAGAACAAGACGACCTGCTTCGGTAATAAACCAAAAAAAAGAGATACATTTAAAAACCATTTAAAAACATATGTTCTTTGTCCCCATTGCTATGCTTCCTTATCAGTTGTGCTTGGTGAGAACTGCATGTGTGCATATTTCATTCCCCAGAGAACAAGGGACAACAGGATAGTAGAACCAGTTTTAGCAACAATAACAAAGGAAATGGAGAGAATAATCAAAGGGACCCACTTTTAAAAGTTGCCTTTCCTCTTATCACCTCTTTGTGAGTCCAGAATTATTTATTGTAGCTGGAAATTACACCTATTGGGTCACTTTTTTTAAAAGAGTGAATGCTGGCGTTCATTCTAAATGTGGAACACATACATTTCCTGCCTTGGCAGCAGTTACTTCAAGAATGTAGTGAATGTGTGAAGCCACTTACACCACACTTACGATGTAACCAAGGTTCTACATTGAAGGGCAAGAGCCCTACATATATAGAGCAGGCTTCCTGCTACAAACATGCTCCTGGCCCTGCTGTTACCTGCACACAGGTGTAAATTACATGAAGAGGAGCTACTGAATAGGCTAGACATAACAAATTGAAAACTAGTTTAATCCCCCCCCCTTATTATTTTCTACTGTGACATCTCTGATATCTCTTCATATGTCAAGATGTCCACCAGTATTTTGGGGTCCTTTTCTTTCACTATAATTTCTGGCATGGGAGCCGCTGCAGTGCGGATTCTTCTGATCCTACTTGGGTCACGATTAGAAGTTTCAGGATTGTGTGTGGGAGGAGCTCACTTCATAGCCCCTCCCCTTGCCAGCATTGGTCCAGTTTCTAGGAGGTAGTGGCCAGACACCATGATGTACCCCAGCAGGTAGGACTCTGTGGTTAAATGTGTTCCTTTTACAGCTCAGCCCTATACCTATCAACTTGGAAGTATGGTACAATGCAAGGCCGCTCCTCTGTAATTCTCCCCCCCCCCCGCCGCCCCAGGGTGGAGTAAAGGTAAATTGTAAAAAATAAGTGTGATTCTCTTCTCCGTTAGGCTTTCAGTATAGTTGTTAGGTCTTTTAACATCAGATATTTTAGTTTGCTTGGGAGTCTTCTGCCATTTGCACTGAAATGCATCCATCTGCCCTCCTTTTTAAGTGTTATTTTGTATGTGTGTATTCCCACCCCCATTTTCCCTTAAGAGTTTTTGGTGATTGCTTTTCATGGCCAGTTTGGTTTGAGAAAAATAGTAGCAGCCAGTGGCCAAAAAGCTATTGTACCTCTAGAATGCAAAGTCTTGCTTTTAAACCATCCACATCCAAACTGACAGTTAGCACAGTTGGCTGTGGTTAAACAGACGGATAAATACTAGAACTACAGGAAGATGCGTAATCTGTGTATTTTGTCAACATCATCCTGTGAAGATTTATATCAAAAACATCTCACATAAAAATAAATATCTTACGATCTTTCAGGAAGCTTTTTTCCTATTTTGAAAGAGAAAATAAAGATCAAGTGTAAAAGGGAGAGAGAGAGATTGTCACAGCTTATTAAAAAAGCCAGCTGAAATTGCAGTTTCATTGATGTTTTCTTCCTATTTAATGGCAACACAAAACAAAACCATTTGAGGAAAATGAAAATAATTATTAAGAACTATGAAATGATGAAACTTAAGTTCATGTAGACATGTTTTCATTACTTTTGTTTGCCCCATGTATTTAGTTGTTAGAGTATTTATAGCTCACTATATTCCCTTTTCCTCCTATCGCATAATGATTTTTAATGTATAGTAATAAAAGAAAATTGATGTATAGTACACTTACAAACACTGCAGGGAGTTGTCCTCTTTTTGGGGGGAGCACTTGGGGGAACATTAATGATTCTGCCATCTTGACAGCAGGTAAATAAAATAAAGTTGTGATATGCTGAACATATGATAAATATCTTCCATTTCTCACTTGTAGAGGAACCAGTCAGAATTTCAGAATGACTTGAGCTGCACACCTGAAGAAGACAAAAATGAAAGGAATGAGATGTTAGCTGAACTAACCTGTGAAGGTGATAGTTCCAACCATAAGAAGCCAACAAAGAGCTCAGATTTAGCAAATTCAGTGTACTCCCAGCAACTTGAAATGTCAAAAGATCTTCAGCATAATTTGAGTCACCAAAATGAAAAAACTCGCACTCTGCACACCACTTCTGAATCACATATGCTTCTCTGTGAAAATAAACCAGAGGGCTACCAAAATGCACAAGAAATATCACACACCGTATTGTCATTGTTTCTTCAGAAGAAAGAAGATACAGCTGCCCTAAATCTTATTGCAAACCAAGAACCACAAAGGGAGAGAGAGCACTCTGAAACACTAAAGATTTCCTCTTGCGGTTTATTAAATAGCACATCACTTAATATTTTAAATCAGGAAAATAAACAGACTTATGGTGTGCAATCTAAATATGGCATGCTGTCTGATAAGAACGTCTCAACCAAAGATGATGTGATCCCAACGCTAGGAGGAAGAGAAAAAAATACATTCAAAGATGCCAAGGCACTTTTGGAAGACATTTCTAACAAGGGAACTATAAATGCATCTCCTTCACTGCCTAGCACCATCAGTCTTATATCAAAAAATTCACCCCACGTCACAGATTTACCGTATTCTGAGAGCAATAGTATTTCCCAAACTTCTTGCACGGTCCCATCACCACAAACAGACCAACCTCCTCCTTTGAACCTAGAAAAAGTAAAACCAATTCAGGTGCTATCTGTATCCGATAAAGAAAACAGTCACCCAGCAATACCTTCTATGTTGATTTTAGGAGGGAAAGAATCCAGTGATCAAAGCACTGCGAGGAAATTCTCTGTCTCGTCAGCTTGGGGAAGGTCAAGGACCAGCAGCTTGAACATGAAGGACACTTTAGTGTATGAAAATCTACCAGCCATGCAGATCTTGCAGGCTAAAATTAAAAACTCTTCAAGAAACGAGAAGGTAAAAGAGGATACAGAGGTTAACTCCTGCCAAGAGAGAAAAGGCTGCACTAGCAAGTGGGCCTCCTCATCAGAGTTGGAATCAGAAACCGCTGGGAGATCATCAGACAGAGTAGAAGCTAGTCCACAGCCCCAGGTCATGGCTTCAAAACCAGTGCTGAGTAACTTTTCCACTGCTCTTCCACAGCAATCAAGTACTGCCGAGTCAAGTTGTGAAGAAAAAACCCCCTTCCAAGTCAAGCTTAGATCCACATCTTTATCACTGAAATATAGAAACAGCTCTTTGCAGGAATCAAAGGAGGCTAAAAGATACAGTGCGGAGTTTAATGTGGAAAAAGAGGGACTACCTTTGACATCCCTAAAAAGTGAAAAAGCAGAGGCTAAAAAAACAAGTGATGTAAATACCACCAGCTTTTTAACTGAAAGCCTCAAAGCTAAATCAAAGGCCTCTGAACAGGGTAGCACAAAACCTCCATTGCCAAGGAAACCTATTTTGCAACACTACTTTATTGCTGGCACTAGCACAAACATAGAAAAGCAGGAAAAGGTAACCAAATATCCTGAGTTGAAAAATGAAGGCAAAGATTTGGAGATGAAACCAAGCCCACCCGAAGTGCCTGGTAAGAATACTCTTTCTTGAGACTTTTGTGTGCATAAATTAGGGGTGGGGAACTGGATCACTGTGTTTGCCCAAAATGGTCTCAGGACGATTTCAGAGGCCTTGCCAGGCCTGATTAGGACCCCAGGTCAGAAATTTCACACCTCTTCCCTGAATATATTTAAACTGCAAGATCTTTTTAAAAAATTACTGTGAAATCACTTTTACAGCGGCAAAACAAACCGTAAAGTAACCATACATTTTTTACAGGGTGCCAGGAAAGGATAAATTTCCTACAGTTCCATCAGCAGTCTGCAAAGCTCAGTAGCTTGTGTTTTATACTGTTATCATTAATACATGCATTAGTATGTACACTGTGATGTTTGTTATGTTTCTGTGTTGTAAACTGTGTTGTATATGAATTTCTTATATACCTGTTTAGGTGGGGAGAGACCTGACCAGCCTCAGCAAAGCCCCAATGCACCTCCAGCTTACAAGGATACTCCCCCTGGAGCTGAAAGGGGACATCCTCTACAGGCTCAGGAGAGGGTCTCCTCGTGAGTTGGATGTGCAGCACGGCTTTGCTGAGGCACTTCAGGATAACAGCTGACTTGTTGGTAAAGCTGTGTCTCAGCTGAGCAAGCCGCCTGAGCAGGTGCAGTTGGGCTCTGGGATGGGTCTACTGAGGGAGGTGTATCCCGGCACCTTTTTCTCTATGAAAAACAAGCACTGTTTTCACTTGTGAGAAAAATGAAGCAGCCGATGTCTGATATAGGTATGCTAGTACAGTGGTACCTCGGGTTAAGTACTTAATTCGTTCTGGAGGTCTGTTCTTAACCTGAAACTGTTCTTAACTTGAAGCACCACTTTATCTAATGGGGCCTCCTGCTGTCGCTGCGCTGCCAGAGCACGATTTCTGTTCTCATCCTGAAGCAAAGTTCTTAACCTGAAGCACTATTCTGGTTAGCGCAGTCTGTAACCTGAAGCGTATGTAACCCAAGGTACCACTGTACTCCAGTTTTTCTGTTTATTATTTTTTTATAACCTTGAGACTAACTAGCAGGTTTCTTGTTTATATAGCTCCATTAATTTGTGTCATACTTTACAAGGTGGAGTTGGACAAATGGGAGAAGACAGATGGAGAACAGGCATATAGGAGGGAGACACTTGGGTAGCCAGGGATTAACGTGGATTAATGTTGCCCCAGCAAGGAATAAGCTGAAACAGAGCCCCTATATAGCAATAGTATAGGCAGTAAAAGGTAAACGTAAAGGACCCCTGGACAGCTAAGTCCAGTCAAAGGCGACTATGGGATTGTGGTGCTCATCTCACTTTCAGGCCAAGAGAGCTGGCGTTTGTCCGCAGACAGCTTTCCAGGTCATGTGGCCAGCATGACTAAACTGCTTCTGGTGCAATGGAACACTGTGACAGCAACCAGAGCACACAGAAACTCCATTTACTTCCCACCACACTGGTACCTATTTATCTACTTGCACTGGTGTGCTTTCGAACTGCTAGGTTGGCAGGAGCTGGACAGAGCAACAGGAGCTTCCGTCGTTGCAGGGATTCGAACCGCCGACCTTCTGATCGGCAAGCCCAAGAAGCTCAGTGGTTAGACCACAGCCCCACCTGCATCCCAGTAGAAGCGGTAGCATCAGGTTAAGCCTAATTGTTGTTATCACCACCTGGGCTGCGAGATGCTCCTTGCCTTAAATTGCCTAGTTGTCTTCAGAAATCTGCTGCGATGGAGGAGTGGAGGAGCCTCAGGTCTTTCAAAGTCTTCTTTCAAGGTGTCCACTGAGTTAGAGGAAAGCAGTGCCATATCTTCAGGTTGGGCAGGGGGCAGCGGAACTGGCCCAGGAGGTTCATCTGAGAGCACTTATGGGGCTGCCTTTGCTCGTCCTTCCCCTCCTGCTTCAGAGTGCCCACCCTCAATCTCTGAAGATGAGAAATCCAACTCCAGCATCATGACATTATCTTACCAACCATGGTAACTCTCACTGGCAGTATCCCTTTTTTAGATGTTCCTTAGCATGGACAGTAAATGTATTTATTTAAGCTTATTTCTGCAAAGCCTTTCTGAAAACAGTTCATGTGTCTTGCCTTTCAGAACATTGGTCTATTTAACAAGATCCCAAATTCAGTCTCTATGTTGGGGAATCTTTATTTTCCATTTTCCCAAACTTAAATTTTGTTCCCTGCGTGCCAGTGGTCAGGAATGGTAGAATTTGTAGTGCAACAACATTGGGATGGCTACAGGTTAGCCAACCCTGTTTGAGATTAATCATGGTGCTGTCTCACTGTCACAAAACCAGTTTTATAAGGAGGCAGTTTTGTACTGATGTCATTACACTTCATAACTGACACTCTAGTAAGAGCTCATAGATGAGGTGGAAAATCCATTTGACTTTCCGAGCATTTGCAAATCTGGTGTGCCCCATATCTATCTGCCCATCTAACTGCAACAGTGGTGCTCTGTTTGTGCATTTGAAGATGTACCAAGTGCCAGCTGGCAACAGCCCTACAAACCAGAATTTCCTACATTTCAGTGGTCTGGACGGATATGTAACTATCTGTGAAACTTATGAGTAAAACTGTTCATACGCCGATTTTATAATGTTCCTTTAACTTCTCTTGATGAAATATGTTTTGATTTGCAATTGTAAGCTGTCTTGTAAATGAACACGTAATTATTATTATTATTTTTTACCTCAAGGATTAACTCCACAGGGTCTTATAACTGCAGTGTGTGCTGCATTGTGACCATATATTTAGTAGTGCTTGGGCATTACCTGTAGGCTAAAGACTGATCCTCAAGATGAATAGTGTTGCAAGATGCTCATTTATGCTCAGTCAGTAGATTGTGAGGCACTTAATCTCAGGGTCGTGGGTTCGAGCCCCACGTTGGGCAAAAGATTCCTGCTTTGCAGCAGGTTGGATTAGATGACATTTGTGGTCCCTTCCAACTCTTCCAATTCTATGATTCTATAACGTTTAGCATATATATGCTGCTTTAGTGGTGCAAATGGGTCATAAATACGTCTTTAACTCCGGTGCCTCTTTATTTGAGTGACAGTGCTGGAAATGGATAGACTTCACATGCAATAGAACGGATTAATCCGTTTTGCATTCCTTTCTATGGGAAAGTGTGCCTTGGTTTTGGAACGCTTTGGTTTTGGAATGGAATTTCCAGAACGGATTGAGAACCAAGGTACCGCTGTATTTATTCGTTTACTTGTTTGCTATCATTGCTCTCTCTCTCTCTCTTTCATTTCTGCTTCTAATTCACACACACACACACACACACACACACACACACACCAGCCTAATCTGCAACACTCCGTGTCCACCTCTCTCTTAAACCAAATCCAACTTCATGCATGAAAACTGTAGGATATATAGGCGTGTTTTCCAAACCAGACTTTCCCCAACCTTTGGAGAGGATACATTTCTCCCTGTTGTGTTGGTGGAGAGAATGGTACCTACATTGCCTGAGACAGCCCCAGTAGAGCCTGGCTTGACAGTGGTGCCACCTGAATGGGAAGTTCTGGGGAATGGGGCAGGAGCAAACATCAATCAGGTGCAAATTGGAGTGGCGACTGCACCTTATTTTTGTTATTATTCGTAAAATTTATATACTGCCCTATACCCACAGGTCTCAGGGATAAAATCACAATATAAAAACACAAAATGCATCATCAAAATAAAAACAAGAACAACCCAATAACCCCACCCAAATAATCAGAGAGGGAAAATAGCATTTTAGATACACAATATTTGTAATAAAAAAGATAAAAATAAGCACCCATCAAGTATTGTCAAGGAGTAGATCAAGAGATCAATTTAACTGTCTTTCAAACCAAAACATTGGTGTCCACCCCCCCTCAATTGTAACCATTCATAGAAGCTCTTTGATCCAGTGGAGGCTTCCATGAAGGGGCACCTGGCGATTAAATAGGGACCCGATCCAGGAGAAGGACCAGTTCAAGTTCCACCTTTCCCCACCCACACAATCTTTGTGTGCAGCTTCTCAACCATCTTGTGTGTTTTGCACTGTTTAAGGAACCTGGAATTTTTCCCAGACCTTTGACTTTCGTTTCAGAAGATTTGGAATATTGGCTACCCCGCAGCAAAATGATTTTCTGGAATGAAGGTTTGCAGAGTAGCTCTGCCACAGCTGACCGGACACAGAGCCAAGAACACAATGTGACTGGCTGTTGATGGTCACATCCGGGTAACTAATGGCATTGTGAGCAACGCCATTGGATTACTCAGCACAAGGCTAGTAGGTTGGCTAGCTTGGGCTACTGTCGGCAGTCAATACAGGCTAACAATAACATCACATTCTAGTGAGTGCCTGCATGGGAGAATACATAAACATCATTCTGATACTAGTCTCTTTATTTTTCACTCCTTTCTTCCTAATTTTTAACATTGTCCTCTGCTTGGATCGCAATGAGATTTCATTCGTCTAAAGAAAATTGTTCTTGCACAGTCTGCTCTGAACTTTCTACCTCTCAAGAAGAGGGGGAAACTGTGACTGAAAATAACCCTATCCAAATTTATTTAGCAACATGACATTTAGTAGCTCATCTGTATAAGTGAAATGCAGATGATGTAAACAATGGCATCATTTTAACAGCTTCTCCCTCTCAAAGCATTTGCATCCATTCCAATAATTGGGTGGTTTCCCCCCTTTCTTTTTTTAAAAATGTCCTTGGAATACTGCCACACAGCTTGCTTTAAAACTGAAGATTCATAGATGTGTAGAACAGAATATTTTTCAAAATCCAGGTATAATGTTTAAAAAGGAACCTAATGAATACTAGCTGAAGAAATATATAGTAAGAATGATAGCAGCCTCTCCAAATGTGTTTCTTTCTGTCTGTCTCTCTCGTGGGGAGGAAAGGCACCAATGATGTAAAGCAGAAAATCCCCACATGATAAAAAATAATAATACCAAGCTAGATCAATGCCTTGCTGCTTGCTAATGATATCCCAAAATCTTCTGCTTGAGATGAGCTGCTCTATCCTACCTAATGGAAGGTGAATTCTGATTTATTGTGCGCAGATCTTTGTTAGTAATCCCAGAACAAAACAGACCATTTATTCAGTTTACTGCTTCTCTTTGTAGCAGTAATGGACAGAAGCAACAATCAGACTATGAAAAGAGTTGGCTTCAGGACTCTGGGTCCCACCCTGATTTATGACATCCTCAGTGTTTTGTGTTGCCAGAGTGAGTCATAAATGCTCGCTTGATTGCCACATGAATGGTTCTTATTTTTCAGCCATTCAAGGTGATCTAGCATCAGGCCTACGAATAGATAACAAGCAGTTATTCTGAGTGCAGCCATTTCTGTCTGTGGTATGTGTGGCTCTCAGGCTTCTCAGAAGGCCGAACAATATTAGGTTCAAACTACCTGAGATGGCAACATGGTATGCCTATGTGTTTAAACCAGGAGCTGCCTACATTGCATACAAATGTTGATTTCATTCTTCTGGTTGTTGTTGTTTTGCATTGGACATTCTAACATTCTTCTTGTTGGTGATCTTGTTTCTGCCTTGAATTCCTTCAATGTTAGGCTCATCCACACTTGTGCTTGTCCCATGCTTAGAAGGCACACAGGTCTGAGCAATTTCCCACTTGCCCCGTGCTTTCTAGGCATGCATCCAAGCAGTTTTGCCTTCGTTGCGATTCTTTCCCCAGGAAAACCTGCTCTTTAACGCTAAATCACAAGAAACTGCAATTGGCCAAAAACTCCATTGCTGTATGATCCAACTGAGCGCTAAATATTGGGTTTCCCCTGGGGAACGCAGCAGGCCAAACACAGGTGTGGACAAGCTCTTCGTCCCAAATGCTGCTATTCATTTGCTGTTTTCTGTTTGTCATTCCAATGATAAATACTCCTTTCTCCTAACTGACTTTCCCTCTCTTCCCAACCTTCACTTTAAGCTTCTTGTAAAGGTAAAAGTAAAGGTACCCCTGACCATTAGGTCCAGTCGTGACCGACTCTGGGGTTGCAGCGCTCATCTCGCTTTATTGGCCGAGGGAGCCAGTGTACAGCTTCCGGGTCATGTGGCTAGCATAACTAAGCCGCTTCTGGCAAACCAGAGCAGCGCACGGAAATGCCGTTTACCTTCCCGCCGGAGCGGTACCTATTTATCTACTTGTACTTTGACGTGCTTTCGAACTGCTAGGTTGGCAGGAGCTGGGACCAAGCAACAGGAGCTCACCCCGTCGCAGGGATTCGAACCGCCGACCTTCTGATCGGCAAGTCCTAGGCTCTGCGGTTTAACCCACAGCGCCACCTGCGTCCCCAGCTTCTTGTACTCACTTTCAAATGTCGCAGTGTTTTTGGTCCTTAATATTTGTTCTCTTTTCTTTCTTGGTATATTCCTCCCTGGATCCTTCAGACTACAGGTGCCAATTCTAGCCTAAGATTAGCCCCTTTCTCAACCTCTCCCCTCCCTTTCCCCACTCCTCTCCAACCCCATTTGCCTCTGTTTTTCCCTTTCTGCTCTCGGTCACTTGAGTACCATCTCCTTGATATTTGAGGCTGCAATGCTTTACAAACCCACCTAGGAGAAAGGCCAGTTCAACTCAGTGGGACTGACTTCTGAGTAGACATGTATAGGGTTGCACTGTGAACTCTCTGGCTCTATTTGTACATCCAAGCCCCTGCTTAGATCGCATCAGTTTACCCCTTCTTCATTTTTTAACCTTCCCTTCCCATTCTTCTCTAAAGTGCCTCATCTTTGCATATTTCACATATTATATAATCTGCCCTTCACCCAGAGTTCCACAAAGAGGGCCCAACAAACATTTTAAAACCACGATATATAAAATCAAGTCGAAACAAATCGTTAATCATTGTGGCAGCAGCGGAGAAATAAAAATACAGCCAACAGATAAAATCATTAGAGTTCGCCTTTCCCTTCCACAGTGACCTGCACAGAGAGGTCCATCTTCACCTACCTTATAAAAGACAGTTTATGTTGGAGACTGATGTACCTCAGAGCTGGGGTCATTCCATAAACGTGGAGCCAGGGCAATTGTAAGCCTGCATGCAAGGACTGCATTTTGTTTTGCTTTGTCTTTATATGCATAGTTTATTGGTTTTTAAGTTTGGACTGCACTCTATTTTTAATTATTGTACACAGTGCTATTTTTCTAGAAAAAGAGGTGCCGAAACTCACTGTGAATGCCTCCCTTGTTCCCTTATAATGGCAATGGTGCCCACCTGAGAGGGGTCAGAACTCAGTTCCCCCCAAAAAGGGGGGGGAAGAAGCTGCTCTGATTGTACAGCACCCAGCATATCTAACCACTTTGTTACTAATAAGTAATAGCAGGTGTATGCACATCTACACTAAAGGTAACTTCAGAAGTCGCAGAAGAACAGTTGGTGGTCATAAACCAGGCTTCCTCAAACTCGGCCCTCCAGATGTTTTTGGCCTACAACTCCCATGATCCCTAGCTAGCAGGACCAGTGGTCAGGGGTGATGGGATTTGTAATCTCAAAACATCTGGAGGGCCAAGTTTGAGGAAGCCTGGCATCAACAAATGAAGCAAATACTGTGTAAAGAAGAGGTGGCTGTTGTAAGCATTATTGTAGATGTATTGTGGGCAGCTTCCTGCATGCAGGACAAGCATGGAAGGAAGCATCCATGGCTCTTGTGTTGATCTAAAAAGCCCCAGACAGCTTGGGTTTTGGATACCTTAAGGACGGCCTGAGGCTTTATAATCCTCATTCAGTCACTAAGATTGTCCAAAGGAGTGCTTGCTGTTCACTACCAGCATGTCACTGAACCTCCCTAAAGTGATTTGTGGAGTAGTGTGCAGGATAACAGTTCTGCACTAGCTTGGACTCCTTCTGACTGTATATAACATGGGCTTCGTGAAACCCAGGCAACTATAGTCACGCCATATCCATTCGTCTATCAGAGTCTGCAAGAGAGAAGCAGGACAAAGGTCAAGTTCAGAAATCCGAAGCTGTCAATATTACAGTTTTAGAGCAGTTTTCTGGGGTGTGTATTTGTAGAGATTTCTCCCTAGTGGCTGGCCATCTCTTCGGTTCACAAGCTTTGCTTTCTTTAACACTAAGACCGACTTTCCTTCTCCAGTAACAACAGACTGAGTTTCCCTCTCCAATACCTTTCTTCCCAAATTATCTCAGCAGAGAAAAGTGTGCCTTCTCCTGTGATTGCTGCAGCAGACACTGCAAGAGGAACTGAAAGCCAGACAGTGCCAGCCTGGATTACCATAGCAAAACAAAAGCAGAGGGTCATGGAGCAAGAGCTTAGCAAAGAAGAGAAACTGGTGGCTGCGGATAAGGCAGAGGCAGAAAAACAAATACAAGAGAAGGAGCGAATGGAGGTAATACAGGTCATCCCTGCTTGTGACCTGCGTTTGACATTGCATTGGGGCTCTTTGCTTTAACCTGTTTCTGCAAGGTATCTTGTAATCAATTAAGGTTGGCAGGTGTTCACCAACTCTGCTATTATTCAGATGTGTTTTAAGCCAAGAATTGCATGCAAACGTTCAGCAAGTGTAAAAGCGGGTAGATAACTTAAGTTCTGAGCTACACAGGGCTGTTCGTGTTGGAATTCACAAAGAATGAATTCCTCAAGCACCCTTAAACTTTGTTCTCCTTTTCCCACACCCACACACTTTTTTTGTATTTTTAAGTGAGATATGTGTGTGGTGGAGTTTTAATTCTGTAAAGGGCAAGTGTTCACCTGATGCACCTTTTTTTCTTCTATAGCAAATATCCCAAAGACATTTGAGCCCTTTTTGTAATCAACCCTATTCTTCCTTTTGCAAAGGTGGAGCTCACCTTTTGCAACAGTGGAGCTCCTATCTCCGATGGGAGCTTTTTTTTTTTTAAGGAGGAGGAAAACCTTTCCCATGTTGCAGCGTTTCCTTCAGCCTTCCGTTTCTTTATACAATTAAAACAACCAGGAAGAGCTCAGCATCATGGGAGAAGTTGCTGTAATGACTGCAGCAAATGTCTGTATGCAACTGCCCTAAAGATACCTTTTTAATCTGCAGTGCATCACTACAGAATATAACTGTTGCAATGCCAACAGCAGAAGGCAGCAGTTTTCAAATGAAGCATTCATTCTGACCAATTCATCTCCCTTTGTTCAATTTGCAACTGTGGGAAACCAGAACACTGTTCTCCATTTCAGTTCTGAGCGTGTCTTGAAAGCTCAGATGATGGAATACTTAGTTGCAGGAGTGTGTGCTTTTCCTTCTAAAAAAATCTATGGGTTTTAATCTGCCAGTAGGGAGAATGGAAGTCATGTATAGCGTACATGTTTGAGGATATACACTGAAAGTATATTTACAGGCTTAAAGACTCATGTAGAGATAAATGTTATGTCACCCTAAAAAACATGTTACATTTTCCCTGTAACCTATAAACCTTGGCAAGGACTTGAAGCAGAATGAGAAATTTGGCCTCCAGTACTCAAAATCAATTATTTCTGGTATTGAGATTAACCAGTATATAGAAAAAACGAACTAAGACACAAAAGGCATCTCTGATGTAAATGTCAGCATTGGAACCAAAATCTAGAACTGCAGCAGTGATTCTCCTGTAGTCTTTCTTCTGTAGACGTTACTTGTCTCACTGTCTTCTGTGGTAAAATTATAGAACTAATATAGTTAATTGCATAAATCATTACATTATTCCAGCTCAGTCATTTCAGTGCAAAGAAATGCAATGCAAATGGATGGTGGTGGAACATAACTAATGGCAGTTTTTTGCAGACTGAAATGACTGCAAATGCCAATTGTATTCGCTGGATTCTGTTTTGATCATGGGACAAATAAATGAGCTTTGGCAATTTCTGCCTACACGAAGCATGATTTTTAACATAGACATGCACCCTATTCACCCTATGTAATATTCCTTACATTTAGCTTCCTTGATAAAACTAATGTTTTTGTGTTGTGATCCTGAATTAAGCAGCATTTTTAGATTGCGGAAGGGGAAAAACCCCCATTACTGTTGTGAATTCTAAGGTTTTATTTCTTTGTGCTAAATGTTGGTTTTGGTTCAGATCCCAGGCCAAAGTAAACTTTGTTCAGATGAGTAATACTTGAAAGAAAGAAAGTCAGTTACGTTCCATTGTGTAGGACATTTCCAAAGGATAGTGTGCAGAAAAACTTCCATTTTTGGTTTGCAAAATTTCCTGTAGATTGTCCAATGTAGATTTGGTCTTACAGGAAGGTGAGTCAAAAAGCAATTGTTATTTCCACATTGTGTGCATACCTTTCTAACCACCCTAACAGTATGTCTCTGACGGAGAAATTAGTATGTATTATCAGCATACAGTAGTACCATCCTGCGAATAAAACTAGCTTAGAGCAGGGTTCCCCAAACTTGAGTCTCCAGCTGTTTTTGGACTACAACTCCCATCATCTCTAGCTAGCAGGACCAGTGGTCAGGGATGATGGGAATTGTAGATCTGGAGAACGAAGTATTGGAAACCCTGGAGCCATTGAGGAAAACAGAGGCTTGACCAGAAAATGGCTGAAAGGGTTAAGCAACCCCCTTCTCTTTTCTTCAGTTTCCTTACATTCTGACCTGTACCACCCTGAGACTGCTTTTGGCTTAAAACAGCATTGGAGCAAAATATAAATTCACTGGTGTGTCACATTTTAAAAGAGCAGGGGCCATTGCTGCACAGCCATAGCTCCCTATTGTCAATGGGAAGCGGTTTGCTGCCAGTTTTGGCTTGTGCTTGCCCTCATTATCAAAAGAGGCCTTGAATAATTTGCTGTGGCTGCAACAGCTCATCTCCAAGTGCTTCTAATTGCATAATTCAAAATCCCCAAAACAGTTTTCCAGTCTGCAGCCTATGAAATGTTTATGGAGTGTTTACAGCTCAGATGGCATAAATAGGGCAAGTGTGTGTGACATAAGACCACATTATTCTATTGTTGAGCAGGGAGCCATGTCTGCTGCTGAGTTTCTTGTGTTCTGTCAAATCCCTACTGTGGTTCTCTTTCCCACTGAATTATTTAGAACAACACTATCCTATGGTGTGTGTGGTTTTCTCTCTCTCACCCCCCTTTTTTTTATTTAGGAAGTTCTGAGGCAACAGACAGATTTCACGCGAAACACATCCTTGCCTTTCCCACCCGCAGCTTCTTCTGAAGAACAGAGAAAAGAAACTAAGTCAGATATGCAGGAATCTTTGCCAGGAGGCAGCTTGCTGTCACACCATAACCCTGGTATGAAAACAAGACGCTAAAATTCTGACATAGACCCAGGCTGTAAAGTATTTTCCATCACACAAACAACGTTCCCAGTTTTTATTAAGGGATCACAAGATTGGGCATTTCTGCAACTTCTTCCTGATGGCATGCTGCTGGTTTTATTTATTTAAAGAATTTATAAACTGTACACCTTTCACAAATACCATGGTAGTGCCCAAAAAAAGAAATTAAAAATGAAATACAAGGTTAAAACAACAAGATTGCATCAAATCTGTCTGTAAAACCAGCATAAACCATGTCTGACAATGCTACCTGAAAAAGCATGGCTGAATTAAAAAAAGTCTCAAGGAGGCATTCAAAGGAATACAGGGTTGGTGCCAGTCTATTTTCCAGGGGGAATGCATTCCAAAGTGTGGGTGCTACCATGCTAATAAGTCTGCCCAAGTATTCATTAAGCAAACTTCCAAGGTGTGTTGCAGCCTCAAGGTGTCTTCACTAGATGATGTAGGGGTTTAAGTAGGAGGAGGTGGGAAAAGTCAGTCTCTCGGGTAAACAGCTCCTAGGCGGTTTAGGACTTTATATACTGTAGTAAAACCTTAAACCTGTAGTTCTGATTTCACATGCTATTAGTGGGACTGAGGGCACCCTCTCCACATCTTACGTTTTTCAACCACACATCTAAAAACAGGACATACAGATGTGATGAGCATTCTAGCAGGTGTATATCTGCTTACCCAAATTTGGGGTGGGCAGCGGTTATGGCCCTGCCCATCTCCCCGGGTCGGAAAGAGTCTTTTCACCCTTGTGGCCGGCCATGGGGTTCTTCCTCTGCTGGCCACGGGAGGTTGGTGGGATTGCCCACCAAAACGTGAATCTATGTGGCCAACGAGGGCGTCAGTGGAGGGCGGGACCTGGGCAGCAGACCGGAGTGAACAAGTCTTCACTCTGATCTGTCTCTGGAGGATAAAAGCCAACTGCGGCAAGGAGTCAGCAGTTCAGTTAGTGGAAGAGCAACCCACCCTATATGCTGTTCTTTAGGCACCATGTTAAGAAGATCTTGCTGTGGATCAAAATGGTCACCGTATTCAGGGCTGGGAAGGAACTTGCCTGCAAAAAAATTGAGCCCGTTGGATGCCTTCTTCATATCAGTCATCACAACTTTCAGTGGATAAGGCATTGGGTGGAATCCTAAGTCTGTTTCCTGGGTGTGGGGCATCACCTCGACTTAACCTGGTGTGATATTGCTGGGTACCCCGGTAAAGGGGTCTGAGTGGAAGTTTCTGTCCTGAAGCCAAACGAAGAGCAGGCAGGCCATAGAACTTCCAGTAGAAGCCTGAGGAGTTGAGTTGTGTCTTGAAGTGGTTCCATAACCCAAGCATGATCCTGTCGAAGCTTCAGCCTGCAGCCAGGAGGCTGATACAATGTGCACACCCAATGCCTAAGCCAAAGCCTACTTAACATCTTTAATCAATGAAATTTTGGGCAATTTTTAATCCCAGAAAGCTGTTGTGTCAAGTTGGTTCCACCTGTCCTCAGCTCATGCTTCCATCCACACTGCGTGCAAGTCTGCAAAGGCTGCCTTGTCAGAGATTGACTCCAATTCCAACATATATACCATATTTTTCGCTCTATAAGATGCACCAGACCACAAGACACATCTAGTTTTTGGAGGAGGAAAACAAGAAAAAAATATTCTGAATCTCAGAAGCCAGCAAGAGGGATCACTGCGCAGTGGAAGCAGCAATCCCTCTTGCTGTTCTGGCTTCTGGGATAGCTGCGCAGCCTGCATTCGCTCCTTAAGACGCACACACATTTCCCCTTACTTTTTAGGAGGCAAAAAGTGAGTCTTATAGAGCAAAAAATACAGTACTTTAGCAAGGGCAGGAAAAGTTCCAGGTTTGCTTCTGTGCCCTACATCAAACATGCTGACTGAACACTTTCTGTAGCATGAACAATAAAATGATCCCTACAAATGATGCATATGATGAATTGGGCACTTTAAATTTAGTTCAGGTGTGTGCTACAGAATAACCTTTATCACAGCAAATTTAAAAGTGTTATTAGTAGGTTATTCATCATGGGTTCAGATTCTTAAAAAGATTTTTCAGCATCGCCTAATGGCACTTCATACCATAATGGTTAATTAAGCTGATAGGGCAAAAAAAAAAAAAACCTACTTGTTATTCTTGAGCATCACACTGCTATTAAGTAAGCAAGCGATATTTTTGTTTTCCCACACAGTTCAGTCTTCAGCGCTGATTGAAAGAGAAGATATAAAGCCACTTAAGAAGGTCAGTCATTCTTCTCCAGATCAACCTTCATGGATGGAACTTGCCAAAAAGAAATCTCAAGCTTGGAGCGACATGCCTCAGAGGATAAAATAAGAGTATGCATTTTTATGCATAATAGTTGTTCTAGATTTTTTTTATTGGGCTGTGTTAATTGAACAGATAGTTAATCATGAAATCTATTATGTTGGCCGCACATTTGTATTCTTAACCCACTGTGTAGCAGTGAAGATTCTGCTAGAAAGCTAATGCTGGGCTCTTTGTTTTTTGCTTGGAAAAATAATCTTTTGCAGATGATGTTGCTTATCTTACATCTTCTTTGTTTCTTCCACACCTGCAAAATGGTTTGTGATGTATAAGCTTTTGGAATATTTACTAACTATTGGTTTACCATTACTTTGTTACCTTGTAACTAATCTTCCTATCAAAGTTCTTCCCCCCCCTTTTTTTTTGAGCTATGAAACTAATTTCCTCCCCAGAAACACACATGCAAAACAAATGATGTTAGGTTGATAGATTTACAGAAAATTAAAAACTGATAGCATTGTGGAGTAAACGTGGAAATAGGCTGGAATGCTAATTTATTCTCTGGACTGATTCAGTCACTACTACTCTCTCCCCACTCCCCAAACCTCTGCACACTGTTGGATCAGGATCAGAACCATGCATTAGACGTATGTGCTACTTGACAATACCTAAGAAAGTCATGACTCCACTGGAAGAACCCTCATTTATTTGAACTCCAAGTAGGTAGTATAGTTACAGGAAAAGGGAGAGTCTGTATTCAAAAGTTCAAGATATCTTGTTGCAGTTGTTGATGCAGTGAGGATTGGAAGAAAGAGCACACATTCTTGATTTTGCCACATCTAGTTGACTAGTAGCATCTGAACAGCCCCATGATTTCGAATCCTAAACTGAGCTGACAAGGAATTTATTTATATCTGGGATGAGGGATATGTTTCCCTCCCAGATGTTGCTGGCTGGGAACTCCCATCATCCCAGATCATGGGCCATACCTGCTGGAGTTGGCCAGTGGGGAGTTGGACTCCCAACGACATGTAGAAGTCCACAGGTTCCCCTTCTCCTGATCTACATCTATGTCAAAAATTAGACCAGGCACCCCCAAACTCGGCCCTGTTTTGGGACTACAATTCCCATCATCCCTGACCATTGGTCCTGTTAGGTAGGGATGATGGGAGTTGTAGTCCCAAAACAGCTGGAGGGCCAAGTTTGGGGATGCCTGAATTAGACACTGCTTTAACCTCCATTTCATTACTGTATCATTTTCTAATCTAGAAGCTCAGTTGCTGCTCTTACACTTTGGAGAAACGACCTCATCCATGATATTGGATAGTCATAATGCCTGCTAGAGTTTTCACATAAAGTTATGCACAGTTGTAAAAAAGAAAAGCCAATTTCACACATATGTATAATATCACAACAGAAAATTCGAGACAAAACTGGCTGATGCTACTTACTTTCTTATCTGCACAGTTGGGGTAATCAGCCTGTGAATAAATGCATAGCCGTTGGATTCAGGGTCAGAGGGAAAAAAGACCAAACTTCAGTCCCTAGTAAGGGAGACAGTTGGCAAGCTTTGTTTATCTAACAAAGGAGAAAATATTACTTTGTCCTTCATTGTACACTGATAATCCAAAATTGCCTGGATGAGTGGCCTTCATTCTGCCCTCTTTTTGCATGCATTTTCAATATACATTTTCAATTATGTTACAGGTGATCGCTAGGATTTTGTTAGCATGTGATGTAATGCTGGATATATATTTTTTTCCTGCTGCTGTTACTTTAGGTGCCTTTTGATGTGTAATAAAATGGATACCATGTAAAACATCTTTCCACGGCAACAAAAATAACCATTGGATTTTATACATAAGGTACAGCCTTAGCACCTTCAGTATTCTTGAAGGTGTGGTATCAGTTAAACTGAATTTATTGAGTATCTTGCAGTATTGCAGAAAGGCACTAGATTGGTGGCAGAGTTCATGGTTTGTTTGTGCAAGGCTCAATCTTCACTTGGGCAGCAATCTTGGTTCTCTCATGTGGCAAACAGAGGCTCAGGCCTTATCTATGTATGTACACCAAACACCTTAGATAAGCCACCCACGTAATTCTGAAAACATGGTGTATGCCTGTGGGCTTTATTATCACCTTTTGCCTAACCTGCTTTAACTCCCAAGGTAGTGTGCCATGCATGGGGTTTTTACAAATGTTTTCAGTATGTCTCAAGTCCATGATTTTGGGGTTGAGCATCCTAAACAGGAAAGGCCACTCAAGGTGCATGCTGCTTGTGATCATCAGCAATATTCTTATTACATGCCACCGAAAGAGGGACCAGGGATGCAAACGGTAAATTATCAGAAAGCAATAGGAGTACATAATTCCAAGAATGTGGCTGTGTGCATACTGCATTCCATAGAAAGCTTCCACTTAAAAATAACAAAACAAAAAAAACCTAACCCAAATTCCCTGTGATAATCTGAACCCTGGGGAACTGTGGCTTTGTGTAAACTACGGCTAGTGAGAACAGGCCAGAAATCATGGTTTGATCCAGGCTTGTTCTCACTAGCTGTGCTTTAAACAAAGCCAGAGTTTCCTAAGTTCAGACATGCTTTTGGTCTCCTCCTCCTAGCATGTGAAAGAGGATGGAGTGTGTGAGCCTGAAGTTTGCCCAGGTTCATTTGTGTAGTGGGAAACCATGGTTTACTATTATGTCCGAACCGAGCCCTAGACTTTTCAACATTTTAAATGCATATTTAAAGATGCCTTTGCTTTTGGAAATTGTTCAGATATTGACCTATATTTGAGCTTTATTCCAAAGTGCTAGGGCAATGTTGATACTGTGTTACTTTTTGCATATCCTATGTCAGCCAAATGGTTTAATTTGGCAAACAGGACACACAGTACTAATCTGTGTATTTGCAGTGAATAGAATGGCTTGCTTTCTATATCTACTACAAGGAAAAACCTTTCAAGGAATTTTAAACTGCATTTTAGTTTAGGAGCGCTGCAGTGGACTATCTACCATCTTCTGTTGTTTAATGCACATGCATTTTCTATCACATCTTCTAAAGAAATGCAAGGCAGAGGTCAGTCATAAGCTATGTCTACAAAGAAAGTAACTGCTACTTAAATCGCAATAAAAATAATGACAGTCAAATGCTAGAGGTTCCCCGCCCCCCCAAGCAGAAATGATATACTCTGTATTAACTACAGCATATGGAGTAAAATGCAAGGCTAATTTTAGACGGAGAACACTTCTGGTTTTAAATAGTTTTGTAATATGTAAACTTAACTGTGAGTTGTGTTTTTTTAAAAACATTGTAAATCTTGCTTCGATTTTTATGACTTGCACTATTTCTAATTTTTGCTTCTCCGTGTAATGTTAACTACCTTAACTTTACATCTCTGCAGTGTGCTGCACATGCTGAGCATGTTTACATGGTAGTAAATCCTAGTAAGTCGCATGGGACTTACTCACTAGTAATCCATGTTTAGGATTGCAGCCTTAGTTTTTTTTAATGTCGACTAAATTATTTTTATTGTTTTGTATAGAGAACTGCAATAAACTCTTGAGTCCAGAGTATCTTGTTGGACATTACTGACTGTGTAATGTGTTAACACATGCTGGACACTATCCATGGGGATGTTGGAAGCTGCCTTACACAGAGTAAATGTCTGTGGGACAAGTGTATATGTGGAGGAGCCCTGAAACTAAGGAGAAGACAGCTAGCAGGCAGTGAAACTCCCTTGATCTGCTTTGCTTCCCCTCTCCATGATGCAATCATAGCCAGGGACCGTTGCAAATAATGGATATAAAATGGCGCTGTGTTCTACCAGCTGCTGAACAAGCACCAGTGGAGAAAATCCTGTGTCAGAAACATTGCAGAAGAGTATTTTGTACCTCCTCTTGCCTTGGCCTTGCAGAGTTTTGAAATCCATGGGGCTTTGTGTCTGGATAGCCATCCTGAGTATTGCTAAATTGGGATATTTGGTTTGCAAGAGTGACAGAGGACAAAAAATGGTTGGGATGTGCATTAACTTTAGGCGGTCAGGGTTATTAACCAAACAGCCCATAGAGCACTGTGAGATTTCCTTCTGAAATGCATAAAGTTTCACTTTAAATGGAGCGTTCCCCATCAAATTGAAGTGAATGTAGCCACTGGGCAGAATCTTAACATGGCATCTATGAAGAATTCTAGACTTGCCAGATAAGACAGCCTGTCAAGAGTCTAGGCATGTCTACTCAGAAGTAATTCCATTGCACGTGCTTGGATACTCCCAACTATGTGTGCATAGGATTGCAGCTTTAGCAGTACAAAAACATTTTGCTTGAATGCTTGCACCCAGAGTTTCTTACAAATCGTTAGTGAGGGGCAAATTGTGAGATTCTACAACATGAACGTTTTTTGCTCTCTGATTTATAAATGTTTCTTGAATGTTTTGGGGCAAGCAAGGTTTCTGTTATTCTCTACTATTTAAGTATATATATTTTTAAAAGTGGTATGATTGCTGAGGTCCCTTACACAGCCACTTTTGTTATAGGATCTTTCAATGTCTACATTTTGCTTGGATTTTCCACTTCTCTGTGTATATTGGCTCAGTGCCCAGAACACCTATCTGTGAATTGCTCTCAAACAGCTTAAGTGGATGTCATCCAGGAAAATCTTACTGACTATTTGCTCTTTTCAGCAACAACGATCCAAAGGAGTAGTGTTTCAATAAGTTCTGTGGAAACTTTATTTGGGGCAATTCAAATGAGGAACCTAAATGTCTTCAATTTCTTTGCAATATCTGTCTTCCTTGCCACATTCTGCTCTTATTACTAGAGGCAAGTGTAATTAACTTTCCTCTCTTTTTTTGTACATTCTTTTGTTTTGTTACAGATACTTTATCAATCTTATATTATGCACTGCACATTTATCAACCTAAGTGATTGATGTTCTCCGAGGCTCTTGAAACCATCCCTGTACTTATCAATTGAGAAACCAGCCACATTCTAGAAATTCATCACCACTGCTATTATCTATGCCCATTTCAAAATGAGTGTCCTTTAAGAGATTATTTAATGAAGGCCAATGCAAGTGAGAGAAAACACATGAGCTATTAACTTGGGAAGAATATCGGGCCACTTAGTGCAGTAAACAGTGGGCTACTTTTCTTGCGATTGTACAAAGTGCTGAAAAGAGAACTAAAATAGACACTGCTCAAACGCTTATTATCTATGTATCAACATAGCATGAAAAGGAGGAGTATGCAGTTCAAAAAAGCCATCCATTTATTCAGAAGCCATGTTTGGATTTGCAAGAACACAGTGCAGTGAAATCACTAGCATGTCCTTGGAACACCCATTATATTCCCATTGTTGGTGGCATAATTCTTACTCTAATGTCCATGTTTTTACAACAACAGCAACAACAACAACAGAGTTCTGTGGCAGTTTAAGGGCAAACAAATATACTAAAGCATAAATATGCATAGTAGAAGACCCTACTTCCTTGGATGTTTGATGTTGGCTCTGATGAAATAGGCTCATTTTCTTCATTTTTAACATTTTCATTTAGGTGATTTATATGCCACTTTATGTTTGCTTGGTTTTTTTAAATCCCTCATCCTGAAGTGGTTTAAAAGTTCCTAAAAATATAAGTCAAAAGACAACGATGCAATAAAACAAAAATATAGATTTTAGAGCGGTAGCAAGATAGCAATTAGGTAAAATATCCCATCAAATATGCAATCATGTATTTGTAGGTAATAGCTGTACCCTCACTTCTGCTGCTATTTCCCCTGTCCAAATTCATACCAGAAGGTGGTAGAAAGTTGCACACTGATCCCTGGAGCTGTCACCAGGCCACACCTGCAGTCATTTCTACCCCAGATTCAAAAAATGGCATTAGGAAAAAGGTTAATCTCTCCTTTTTCCCAGTGCCACTGCTCTGATCACAACTGGACCATGTTGCTGTAAAAAAACAGGGGAGGCCAATAAGAAATGACAGTGAGTCCCCATGCAATGTGTGTGGTTTAGCCCTGCAGTAGCAGAATAAAAACATGTCTATGGAATCATTTCCATTCTACCATTTTTATTTTTGCCACGTATGGTCGTGGGGGGTGGGGAGCTGTCACAGGGAATATTTTTTTCCATTAGCAGGATTTGTGAGTTAAGCGCATTTCTGTATGACATCTCCTTAGCTCTGGAAGCTTCTTTGCCTTGGGCATGTGTTTTTTATTTGTTTTGCCAGTATAAGGCTGTTTCAGGTGAAAACATGAGGGAGTTTCCTTAAATTCAGGTTCTGCAACTGATCACATTCTGCCGGGGAACAGAGATACGGGGCACTTGACGCTTGAGGCAGATGGCTACATGACCTTTTTGATGTTGAGCGGTGCCTCGAGCTGATTCCAAAATAGAGTCCTGGTTTAAAATGTTTTATTGTGATTCCACATTCCCCCCCCCACCTCTTTTTAGACACCTGAAGTAACTGGTAGAAGATAAGGTTAGGCATAGTTTTGACTTGCTTAGTCAAAGGACAAAGGGAATTTCTCTAACTTGTTTGTTCTGAGCACATCCTGCTCCTCCCAAGGGTATTAATTTGTGCAGCTTTCGGAATTGAGTTTGATACAGGCAGGGAGGGAGAGAAAGGAAGAAAACTAAATGAAAAAGAGCTGTTATTGAGCAAAAGAGTGATTTTCTGCCACTTTTCACAGTAGTAGCTCCCAATGGTAGTTGGATTTGGTATTTTTATCCATTCTCTAGGTAAGGGACTTCTTATTTAATCCCAAGACTGCAAATAGAGAGCCGCTGAAATAATCATCTACTCATATTTACTCAGAGAAGTCACCATCCTGGACAGAGACAAGACGGATAAGATCTTCTGTTTGCCTTACTTTCCTGGCTGAACAATGTATTATCGTTTTCCCCATATCTAGCCCAAATTAATCCTTTCATTAACTCTTGGTATGGGTCAGATGAATTCAAGAAACACAAGACATTGAAAGGAATGCTACCAAACGCTAATACTGTAGCATGTTTGAGTGAACAAGGATGAACTCCCTCCGTGACCAATGAACTGGTTCCCAGTAGGTCACAAAACCTGCCAACCATCATTAGCTTATTTTCAGCCAGATATTTCTTTTCTTCAAGCAGCTCTTTGCATGGATATAACTGTACTGCAGACTACAGAGGAGGCAGAGGATTATATCACTTCCATATGATGTCCTTTTCCAGATGTCATAAAGCTGTGGTGGGCTGGCAGCTACACACTAATTCAGAGCCCAGACCATTCACAACCACACATTCACAAAGAATGTTCTGTTTGCAGGCTTCACCACAGAGAACAGGTTGTTGGACAAAATGGGCCATTGGTTTGATCTAGCAGGCTCTTCTTACCTTCTTATGCCATCTTGACAATAATATGATTGAAAGGTGGGGTGTTTTATTGCCAAAATGTATAATCAATCAATCAATCAATCAATCAATCACACCCCCCCCCAATAAGAAGCATCCATTAAAAATAAATAAATATGTATGGGGCGGCCTGTCTTGCTATTTTCACTCCTAGCAGCCATGTCAAGGAAGTGTTCTTAAATGTCACTAGTATATTGGTAACAGCGTACTTTAAACTACAGCACTTTCGTCAACCGTTCTGAATGCAACCGCGACTGCAATAGGCCTTTCATTCCAGGGAACAGCCCCAGGCAAACAGCACAGCAGCCATTGAACGGAAACTCCTCCCACTCAAATCTTAACAACACAACGTGCCTCTTTAAAAATGTGTAATTTACGCATAAACTTCTGTCTGGCCGCAGAGTTTTTTAATGGTATGTTACCATATCTTCTCTACCCTGCCGGTATAAGAATACACCTTGAAGTGCTGGAAATAATGGAGCATGTCTGTGTCAAATTTTTTCTTATAATTTGCAGCTTTGTTCCTTTCAAGGCTATGAATCGCAGGAACAGAGGAATCATAATCATGACATAAATTATGCTGGCAGCGTAGCTTCGGTAGTTATCAAATTTGTCATCTCTGGCATTTCACCAACCTCAAGCCGTGGTTTATTAATTGCTTTGTAACTCTGCCTGCCAGTTACACTTAAATGTTTGATCTTGCCTGTCCCCAGCCCTACACATTTTAAATAGCTGCATTGTTGGCAGGTGGGATGAATGTAGAGGTATCAGGGCTGGCAACAGCATCTGGCACGGTTGGGAAACTGCCAGGGCCCACTGCTGATGCCCCCTCTTAACAACAACAGCAAAACCACCCTAGTCCTTTGCCCTGTGCAATGTTGAGTGCCTGGGTCTTGCTGCCATATTTGTTTCCCAGAATGCCCCTGACGTAACGGCTTTGCAAGGCCTTAAAGACAGGAGTAGTCAAGCTGGTGCCCACATTTATCAGGGTGGAGGAGTTTGGATTTGATATCCCGCTTTATCACTACCCTAAGGAGTCTCAAAGCAGCTAACATTCTCCTTTCCCTTCCTCCCCCCCCAACAAACACTCTGTGAGGTGAGTGAGGCTGAGAGACTTCAGAGAAGTGTGACTGGCCCAAGGTCACCCAGCAGCTGCATGTGGAGGAGCGGGGAATCGAACCCGGTTCACCAGATTACAAGTCCACCACTCTTAACCACTACACCACCAGTACCTCCTGTGGCACACATGAAAGATATCAGTATATATCGTGCTCAACCCACAAAAAGGTGCCGGAATGCACTTCCTCCAGAAAACCCATCCCAGAGCCCAAAGAGGATCTCTTCAGGCTCTGGGGAAATAGGAGGCAGTCTCCTTGCCAGCCAGAGGCTTGTTGAGGCTGCTTGGCTGAGGCGAGGGGAGTTTTCCACACCTCAGCTGAGCAGCTTAACAAGCCCCCTCCCCTGCGCTGCTCTGGCTTGTGCTTGCTCACAGATGGGGACAATTCGCTATCCAGCTTTAATTTGCTTTTGTGAATTTTTTTGGAATCTGGGAAAGCCTGTGATAATTCCTTCTAGGGTGATGTGTGCCAAACTGTCCACATGATATGGAGCTACTTGCGACTACATTTACAACTTTTGGAACTACAAACGCTGTACTTTTATTGTGAAGGCAGGGGAGCGGGGTGGGGGGCTCAGTGCTAGAAAACAACACATGTACAGTTTGCTGGTCTGCTGGGGATCAAGGAGGACGGTGTGCACATTTCAGGCAGCGCTAACTGCAAAAAGCAGGTGAAGTGCAAATCAGCACCATTGTTTACAAAAGGCATGGCATAGTTGAAACCACTGAGATTTGTTCTTGTAATCAAAGCCCAGAGCAGAAATCAAAGGAAATAACATAGTTCATATCTATGCTTTTTAACATTTTCTTTATTGTTATTAGAATGGATGCAATCAAAAGTACAGCTAACATTCCGTGGGAGTTTCATGAACAGGATATTGATTACAAAAATGCTAAGCATGTATGTCACAGTTGGGAGAAAATGGGATGGCGGCGGCGGCAGAAGCCAGAATGCATCTTCTCAAATAAAGGATGTCCAGCTCAATTCTTATTGGCCGGATCTTGCTCCTTTTAATTAATTTTTTGTTTCTTCTAGGATGGTTCTTCATTTCTCAAAAGTAGACTTCCATTCTTAGAAAAGTTCCCTTATTCTTTTCCTTCACTCTTAAATTACCTTCTACTTAGTAATTCTACTGTTTCTCTTACCCTTAATACTTGTGAGTAAAGGAAGAAACAAGACATTACTTTAGAAATAATAAGAATAACAATATACATGAGTATATTCACAAAATCTTTAGATTCATTTTGCAAAATAATACGTAACTTGAACTAGTGTGAAACACAGCCGCACCATTTTTATTGCCTCTTTCCTGTGTGTGAAGAGAGAGCTGGGAGGGAAGTTATATGTACGCCCATCACACACACACAACACACACTGTCTTACCTTGTTATTGCTGTATTTGCTCTTTGCCCACTGCTTTCTGATCATAGGTTCTTTAATGGCTTTGGTGTCATTAAAAATGCAGAGGTTTTGGCCTCAGCAGCTGGCATAGTGGGGTAAACGCTGGAGCCCACAAAGACTTGCTGCAGTTGACCCTGGCCTTCTTTTGAACATACATATTTCTATATATGCCTATATAATAAAAATGTAAGAATGTCGTCATGCAGTCCTCGTGGGAGGATTTGCAGTGGTGCATCACAATCCTTGATTTTCATGAAGTCAGGGTGGAGTAGGGGAGCAAAAGTGAAGCAGGATTGTACAGCAGCAGTGGCTATGACATGAGAGAGAAGGGAGGGATACTGAGAGGGGGAAATTGTTGGTTTAAAACAACAGCAGACATTTGAGTAAAGCAGAGGTGGGTGAAAACAGAGGAAATTTGTAGTTTTTAACAAGGTTTGACTATTACTTTGAAATATCTGGGGGCGCTGCATTCTTTTTCTCTCACATGAGACAGCTGAGGAATGGAAGAGGGAGAAGTTTGAGTACAGCAAGAAGGGAGCTACACTGAAAAGCGGAAAGCGGATGTTTTAAACAATGGCAGAAGTTTGAGTAAAGCAGTGATGGAAGAACAAGTGGCAGCTTTAAACAATGACAGATATTTGAGTAGAGCAAGCAGGGGATAGCACTGAGTGGGGGAGAGTGGTAGTTTAAAACAAGGGTTGAGTACTGCAAGAAGGAAGCTGGGAAAGGTTCTGTAGCATTAGCTTCTTTGTTGTATCCATCGCTGCTACTTCTTCTTGTCAAAACCAGATTATTTTTAAAAACAACGTATCAGTATCCCTCAAGTCATTTTTTAAAAGTTAACACAGAGATCTAATCTTTAGCTGCATCAAACATTCTGATAAAGGTACCTTCTGAAAGACCTCTCTATTAGTTGTTGGTTTTTAAAGTCCTGTTGTATGCACTGCAATTTTTCAAGATGCTGAGCCCTTGAGAGATAGAAATCTCATTTTATTTGAGCTGGCAGGCAAGTTGTGCCCAGGTGAGGAACAAAGGGAAGTAAGTGTGGCTACATAAAAATGTCACCTCACACATGAAAAACTGCACTAATCTGCCACATCAGCAGTGACAATGGGCATATAACGGGTTCTATTTACTAAGCAGACTTTATATGGTAAAAATAAATTCAGATTAAATGTTTAAAATGTTAAAAAAAGTAGTAGTATGGGCTGGCTTCTTGACTTGGAAGGTGAAAACTTGCAGTGCTAATTCCACAAAACCTTCTTGTCTGGAGGAGGAAGCCAAGGAAACAATCCTGTTCAAATAAGACATTGCATTCAGAGCATTAGGGAACAGGAAAAATCAAAGGGGAGGCTAATGTTAGACAAGAGGGTGGATCTGAACCAAAGATGCCAAAGATCCCTATTGTGACCTCACAAACCCAAGATCAGTAGATTTCAGTTTGTTGCTTCTCTCAGCAGTATTGCCCAGCTGCTGGGACCTGGCAAGTCACTTCCAGCCGCAGAAAACAGCCACAGTCCTCTGAGCACTTAAGTCCCTATTGAACACAGTGGGACATTTGCAAGAACTGACCTTCTAATGAGTTTGCTCGAATTTTTCAAGGTGCAAGGATCTGGAAATTACACAGCACCAAACCCCCAGCTCTCCCGCACTTCAGCTATCAATAGGAGGTGAAAGAAAACTCGCGAGATTTCTATTAAAAAAAAAACAACCCTAGTCCGAGACTGACATCTGACTACACCATCCGCGGGAACGTGCCATCCAGTAAAGGACGACCATTGGCTTCTTGCGCGGGTTGGGTTGGCCAATGGAGGTTCGGGTGAGGTGAAAGGAGGCGGGCGCTCAGAAGCCTAGCCGGTGTGGGCTTCTGCTCCTTGGGAGTCCTCCTCAGTTGCAGCTTGGGAGAAGCGTTTCCTCTGCTGCGGTGAGAGAGGACCGAGGAGGTGAAGTCCTTTTTTCCTGTGTGGTGCAGCAGGCGAGGGCAAGGCAGCTGTAACTGCAAGGGGACTCTTGGAACGCCTCCTGCGCGGGGAGGCACGCGCGCAAAGAACACGCGCGCGCGCCTGCCTGAGAGAGTGTGTGGAACCCTCGGCTTCTCTTTCTCTCCGTGCAGGAGCAAAGGGCGGCTCCTGCGGGACCAAGGTGAGCGCACGCCAAAGCTCCGCGTTCACTCGGGGCTCCGCTCTGCCCATTCCCGGAGGGCGAACGGGGGCTTCCTGGGGTCTTCGGCGGCCCTGGTGGGATGAATTGACGCGAGTTTGGAGCTTTCGGGTTGCAGTGGGTTTGGTATTATTATTGCTGCTGGTGCGTCTGCCTGAAAGACGGCGGTGGCGGTGTTTGTGAGGTGGGCAGACCAAAAAAAATTTAATTAAAATAATAAAAGCCACCTTTTCTGTGTGACGAGGGAGATGCAGGCCGGCCGGCCAGCCACTCTCTCTCTCTTTGGTGCAGCCGCCTCCCCAAGTTCGTCCTGCCAAAGTCGGTCGGCGGGCGGGGAGGGGACTGTTTTGGAGTAAGTGGACTGTGCAATGCGACAGCGAGCTCGCTCTCTGGTTGTACACGCAGGCGGAGGGACTGAGAGAGAGAGAAAGAAGGAACGCAAGAGAGGAGAAGGAGAAGGGCAAGGAGGCGGGTGGAGAGCGGGTCCGCTGGAGACTGCGTCTGTGCGTGCGTGTGAATGCGTGTACGCGGGCAAACTCGCTCTCCGCCTGCATCAGAAGGATGGGGGGGGAGATGAGCATTGGCAGGCGAAGCATGCTTTGGACCTGACTTTGCTACGGGGGTACCGTTTTCCCTGTGGGGGGTGGGAAATACATTCATCTTGTAACACGCTACACACGTTGACACACGTTTGTTGCTGGAACGAAGTGGAGGGGGGGATTCGGAGGGCTGGATAAATCACCTGACAGTGTATCTAATCCGCACGGAAGCATGTGTGTTAGAAAGAGGGAGGGTTGTATGAAGCACGGGAGGTAGGAATAGACCGAGATTGGCGTGTTATGTATACAAGAGAGGAAGAAAGTAGGAGTACAAAGTTTAGGTGAGCAGAAGACAGATTTGCATGTGACACACAGGGAGAGACGGAGAGAAATGGGAGCCGGTGTAAGCATCCTGGGTGTGCAAGGCACTTTGGGAGTGAGAAGGTGGGAATACTGTGCACAAAGATGTATGTTCATATATATATATATGTTCAGGGTCAATTAATTCCAGATAACTTCTGCCCTAGTTTTTCCATCTAAAATACAACCAATATGTATTAATAATAATGTAATGTAATAAGTACAATATTCCTTGTACTTAAATGGTTTTAATTTAACTACAGTATATGTCTCTGCTGCTGTTACTGCACTGAGGTGCCACAGTTAGCTGTGCTGCATCTTTATATCTTGTTTCCCCATCTGTCTCCTTTCCATTGTAAGTGCTGGTTAGCTTCATGCTACATATGTGTGGGCTTGGGCATGTGCACAGCAATGGGTGTTTGATTTGCTAATCCATGCTGCCACCAACTTTAACTTTGCCCATCACTTTTTTTTGGAGGGGGGGGCTATGATTAATAAGAATTTGGTGAAGTTATAGGAAGCAGCGTAGTTCTCCTAGTTACAGTGGGCCATAACTACCTTAGGCCTGTGACCAGATTCTTGTGTACTGCTGTAAACTATGAGTGCTGTGCCGTGCAGTTAAAGTTGACGGCACTGACCTACTGATTGGGGTAACGTGAACCTGTATGTCATTCTCTCGCTAGCTGTTTTCGTTTTAGACAAGCTGTTTTCGTTAAAACTCTATTGAAAAGCTGTTCAAGGGCATGAATGAAGATTGAATCCTGCCTATATCTCCTAGGTACAAGCGCACGATGCAGAATGTAACCCTTCCTTGGTGCATTTGGGAACTGATCCTGCAGGCTTTCCTTGCTTGATCAAAACGAATGTCAGCTACTTGTAACCATGAATCTCAGAAGCATTTGTGAAACAGTAACAACTTCTGATGTTTCAAATGTTTTAACTTTCTCTCAGCTTTTCACGTGCTATAGTTACCACTTCAAGTGTACAATTTGTTTCGAATACCTTAGGCTGAAGACTTAAGCACACCTACTAGGACGAAAGCACCTGTTGATGGAATGAACGCAGTAGCGATTGACTACAGAAAAGTGACTTTGTTTAAGTGAGTGGCAGAGTGAGATGGCTGAAAAGCAACCGTTGAAAGGAGAAGGGTGGCTGTGAGAGGAAGGGGGGGGGATGAGATGAGAGAAATGTGTTAACAAGCTGGCATATAAATGTGTCAGAAAGTTGGCTGGATCTTGTAGGAGTCTGAGCTGCCCAATGATATCTGGAGGATCACAAGTACTCCACCCTCCGTGTATAGGATTACACTACATGAATGTTCAAACAATTAATGTATGTTGCCAGTAATCCATAAAGACCGGGGGGGGGGGAGAGGTGTTTCCCAGCCGGAACTTAGTGGAACTCAGTTCCAGCACCTCTCAGGTGGGTTCTGGCACCTTTCAGGTGGGCACCATTGACATTCTAAGAGAATTATAAAAAAAGAGCACTGCAAAAATCAGTCTTGTAAATTGGAGATAATGTAAATCTACAAGAGAGTAAAGGGGTAGGTGAGAAGATGTGGCTTGCCCAAGGCCTCTTACTAAGATAATGGCAGATGGGAGGTTTGAGCCTCTGTCATTTGCAGTTCCCTCAGTCTCTTCTCTGTTGTGTGATGTGCTTCGGTTTTCTACAGACTTCTCTTCATTTTTAGGCTGAAACTGAGTTTCCCCTTTATGCTTAGGGAGTAGAAGAACAAAGAATGAAGGGCAAACTCTTCAAAAGCTTCTGAGAGTTCGTCATTCTCCAGCGATACGTCTGCTCTGCAGGTTGCACAATGATTTGGAAATGACAGTGCCACATACTCCTTTTGCTTCTGGCTATGCCGTGCTAGCGCTGGAATAAGTGGGCTTCAAGCCAACAGACGAAACTCAAATCCTGACTGTTGGCCAAATACAAACCATGTTGAAATGAGATGAGGCTCCGAAATGGGACTGTGGCCACTGCATTAATTTTCATCACATCTTTCCTCAGTTTGTCTTGGTACACAGCATGGCAGAATGGGAAAGGTAAGTGGAATTTTTTTTTCCTGAAAAGAAATGCATAACTTTGTCTATGACTGGTGTTAATATAATTTAGTGTTGCGTGTGTTTTTTAAGATTGTGTGGACATGTTGTGGGGTGGGGAATCCAGTTTTTGTGATAATACAACCCCCATCATCCAATTAGCCATGATGGGGCTAATGGGAGTTGGAGTCTAATAGCTGGAGGGCCATAGATTCTCCATCCTTATTTTAGACCAATTTCAGAAATAGTATGCTGACTGTTTCTGTCTGCAAATTTGGTGCTGCATTTGAAGGCTTGAAAAACCCCCACACACAATGCTGAGCAGACCACATCCAGATTTCTGATAAATCTAACCATAGAAGGAGAGAATGAAGAGTACAGTATTAGTTTGCAGTTTTTTTCTCTCTGTGTGGGTCAGTGCACACCTGACATTTGTAGGTCTCCAGCTTTTTTTACTTTCTTTTTAAATACAGTGGTACCTCGCAAGACGAATGCCTCGCAAGACAAAAAACTCGCTAGACGAAAGGGTTTTTTGTTTTTTAAGCTGCTTCGCAAGACGATTTTCCCTATGGGCTTGCTTCGCAAGACGGAAACGTCTTGCAAGTTTGTTTCCTTTTTCTTAACACTGTTAATACAGTTGCGACTTGACTTTGAGGAGCAACTCATAGAACGCGGTGTGGTAGCCTTTTTTGAGGTTTTTAAAGACTTTGGTGATTTATGAAGCTTTTCCAAAACTTTCCCGACACCGTGCTTCGCAAGACGAAAAAAATCGCAAGACGACAAAACTCGCGAACGAATTAATTTCGTCTCGCGAGGCACCACTGTAGAGTGCAATCATAGGAGCCAACTCCTAGGGGCCGAGTTCCCTTTAGGCCCCCTAGAAAATATTTGAGGGGTCTGCCCTCCAAGTTGATGGGCATTGCCACTCATATGGTGTGCATGCACCATATCATTATATTTCATTCAAGTTGGACCCCCGGAGTGGAATGAATTGCTGCTTTTTATTTGATTTATGCTCAGATAGTTCTCTCAACCCTACAAGGAAATAATTTCAAGTTTGTTTAAGTTTGCAATGACCAAGGTATGGTCCTGCACTATTGATCTTGGTTCCACATGGTGGGGAAGGGGGAAGAATCCCAAAGTAACTACAATTCTGAGCTGCAGTAATTATTCAGAGAATTATGTCTGTTTAGTGGTAGGGTACACAAGGCCGATAGACCAATCCACAGTATTCTTTTATGAAAGATACTCACAGTATTCTAATTTTGGTGGTTAGTTGCTGGGAAACTGTTTTAAAATAAGGTTGGGATCCCCTCCACTTAATGTATTTTTAATTTTAAAAAACATTTAAGTAACATTTTAGAAGGGCCAAATAAATTACCGTAGTCCCACATAAAATAGTGCTGGTAAACAAACATTGTGTATGGGTGTGTGTGTGTGTGTGTGTGAGAGAGAGAGAGAGAGAGAGAGAGAGAGAGATATTAGTGCTAATGAATTGATTGACACTCGTAACTGCTCAGTTTCCTCCTCTGGTAGATGTTCCAGTGCTGTTCCCTATGACAGTGCCAGAGGTTGCAGTCATGTTGACCTATTCTACTGTTGCTGATTTGGCAGATTTCAAAGGAAATATAATAGGGTTTTGTTTTATTTGTGTGTGCATTGCAAGCCAGCCATTATTTGTGCTTGTAAAGTTCAGTATAGGGAAGTGGTAGGAAAGATCTCTCTCACACACCTGGGAGAAGCTGTGCCTGCCATAGAACACCATTCTGGGGCCAGTGGACCATTGGTAAAAGGTAGCTTCATGTACGTATGTATTAGAACTGCTGCCTTTGAAACTAAAGGCTGATTTATATATCAGGGGATGTCTTTGGAGATGTGCTTCCTGCTTCTTGCTCTGCACATTTATCAGTGTTATATCTGTGTAAGTATTCCTGGGGTCATGTCCCCTTGAGCAGAGCAAAGTTTGCATTGCAAGTAAATCTGTATAGAATTGGACTGAGAGCAGGAAAAACTGCTTTTTGAAGGGGACATGAAAGACTGTAACGTCGATCGGCCAGGTGGAAAATGGCCTGCAAGGCAGGAACAAGTCTTTCAGGACTTACAGACAAGATGGTCTCTTTATAAATAGAGATCATTTGGGAATACCTAAATGCTGCCTCTTGACTGATATTTTTAGTATATTTGAAAATCTTAAATGTTTTCTAGCTTCCATGGTCCATTTCATTCAGTGGCGTTAATTTATTAATGTAGCTTTTAAGCCTTTTATTTGAGTGGCATGTCAGTCTGCCGTCTGTACTTCAGGCCAGGTGATTCTGAATTTTTTTCTAGATGAAACTGAAAACATTTACTATAATCTGTGCAGGTTAAAATTTATTTCGCTTGGAGTTTATTTAGGCAAATCGCAAAGTAAACATAGTTAATAAGAGAGGGCATGCTTCACTGAAAACTCTTGCCCATTCTCTAGAGACTATTTAATATCGCATTCACACACTTCTGTTTTAGCAGGATTTGCCTGCTTCTGACTTTCATCTCTTTAGTCAAAGAGCTATTTTCCTCTCCTTATTATCAACCTTGCAACATTTGTATCTCTTAGCATTGCTTCTTCCAAGAGGCAACTACTTATATGTAGCTTGCATGCCTAACTGTGCAGAATGTATGAGTGTGATATTTGTATCCCATGCTGCATGCAAAACACACACACCTGTTACTTTAAGATCTGACAAAGTGCAGCAGGTTAATTCAGCTAATGAAAGTTGTGTTTCTTACACTTAACAATATCACCCACAGGGCAGAAAATGACCATAGGTTCACAAATGATTGATTATGACCATACGGTTATTTGCAACTCAGTTTTAAAGTTGGATGCCTTGTTAGTCTTTTTCCATAACTTAGGCTCGTGTCAATGCTTAATTGTTTTTAGGCCGGTAATTTATTGCGGAATACTGTCAGGTGTGTGTGCAGGAGCCAGGCCCTGTGACCAATAGGACTTTGCAGGACTGGGGCCTTCCTAAGTTTGTTCTGGAGAGGCAAGGCGCAGCCTCACAGGTGAGGCCGATTGGTAACTCACAGCACCTGGTGGCAAGAGCCGGGAAGGGATATAAGGTCAGCATTGCCCTTCGGCTCTTCGCCACAGCAACACACTTCCTGCCTTGCTGTGTTTGGCTTCTTGCTTCCTGATCCTTGAACCTCAGCTTCTTGACTCCCTGCTTCTTGATCCTCGGACCCCTGGCTTTGTGACTCCTTGCTTCTTGATCCTTGGACCCTTGACTTCATGACTCCTTGCTTCCTGACCCTCGGACCCTTGGCTTCTTGACTCCCGGCTCTCTGACCCTCTTGGCTTCCTGACTCCTGGCCCCCCATTCCTGCTCCCACCCCACCATCTTGCCCCCGGTCCTGACGTCCCCTGCCGGAACGTCAATCGCCCGTGAACCGGACCATGACAAATACAGTGGTACCTCTGGTTACAGACGCTTCGGGTTACGCGTTTTCAGATTGCGGACTGCAGGAAACCCGGAAGTACCGGAAAGTGTTACTTCTGGGTTTCGCCGCTTGCGCATGTGCAGAAGCGCCAAATTGCATTACACGCGTGTGTAGATGCGGCGCTGCAGGTTACGAATGCTGCAGGTTGCAGGCATGTCTCAGTCACTGATTATGTCCACAACCTGAGGTTCCAATGTAATTCTTCAACAATCAGGAGTACACTAGAAGCGAAATTGCATTTAAAATGAAAGTCATCCTTTCAGTGTAGTACACTAGGCCACCCCACTATACGAGCTTAGTTCTGGTTTCAGGTTTTAAAGGCCTTTTTTGGTGGTGTTTTTTTTTAACTATGTAGAAATTGTGTTTACAAAGTTGTTTCCATAGCTGCATCTATACACATAATTCAGATGCTGAAAGCCCTGTTCCTGTTGCTGCTCTTTCTAGGGTAATACACATATCTTTTAAAATCTTTGGCACTTACCCACTACAGCAGTTATATGTGTCAAGCAGCAGTGCTTATGTGGACCTTTTAAAACTGGAAATGGAACAGACCCCTGTGTTGGCCAAATAACACCAGTGGTAATTGGTTCCTACACTCAATATTGTTAACTGCTATGCTTATGAGCACTCTATAGGGCCCATTATATATCCCAGCTTCTCTCTGTCTGCTTAAATTTTGGTCACCTGGGTTGTACTCTTCCTGGAAATGGTAAATGATGCGAGCCCTCTTCAGTTGTTTGCTTCTCCCTATATGATTGCCATCACTTGAGGGGTAACAGCTTGTAGTCCCTGCCCTCCCCTCTACAACACCCTCGTCACCATCTTCATTGTCACCCAGTGCTGGGAAATGAACTATGGCGGTGGGGGGATCTGCTATGCTACACCAGGGGTCAGCAAACTTTTTCAGTAGGGGGCTGATCTGCTGTCCCTCAGACCTTGTGGGGGGGGGGCGAACTATATTTTGAAAAAAGAAAAGAAAAAAAGAATGAATTCCTGTGCCCCACAAATAACCCAGAGATGCATTTTAAATAAAAGCACACATTCTAATCATGTAAAAACATGCTGATTCCCAAACCGTCCATGGGCCAGATTGAGAAGGTGATTGGGCCAGATCCAGCCCCTGGGCCTTAGTTTGCCTACCCATGTTCTATATCACACAGAGAGCTTCCGTGAGTAGAGAAGACGTGTTGCAAAAGTTGCCTTTCCAACATTGGGGAAGATGATAAAGGCATGCGGCTAATGCGTGTGTCTCTTCAGAGGGTTCTTGTGTTCTGTCATATCCTGCCTCAAAGTACAGTTGGCTGCTTCCTCCTTTGCCCATTGTGTTCACCATTTTAAAAGACGTTGCTGATGCAAGCAGTCATTGAGCAATGAATGCTGGAGGAAATGATCTCCAAAGGAGAGTCACCAAAGGGACTCCTTTGGTGAAAAGCCACATCTGGTTTCCAGTGTGTCATTTAATGCATACGGTTAGCACTACACACACACACACACACACCTTCTAAGATGATATACTGTGCATA